AAGCATACTGCTAAAGCAACACTTGAGTGGTTTAAGGGGAAACATTTAAATGTCTTGGAATGGCCTAGTCAAAGCCCAGACCTCAATCCAATTGAGAATCTGTGGTATGACTTAAAGATTGCTGTACATCAGCAGAACCCATCCAACTTGAAGGAGCTGGAGCAGTTTTGCCTTGAAGAATGGGCAAAAATCCAAGTGGCTAGATGTGCCAAGCTTATAGAGACATACCCCAAGAGACTTGCAGCTGTAATTGCTGCTAAAGGTGGCTCTACAAAGTATTGACTTTGAGGGGGTGAATAGTTATGCATGCTCAAGTTTTCTGTTTTTTTTTGGTCTTATTTCTTGTTTGTTTCACAATAATTTTGCATCTTCAAAGTGGGAGGCATGTTGTGTAAATCAAATGATACAAACCCCCAAAAAATCAAATTTAATTCCAGGTTGTAAGGCAACAAAATAGGAAAAATGACAAGGGGGGTGAATACTTTCGCAAGCCACAGTATATGGCTTAAGCAGACAGGCAAACAGACAGAGAACAAGAAGAAGCACAGAGTGACAGCAGAGAAGAATCTGAGACCGACAGCACAACAGGGAGGCAAACCAAATGTCTGGAGGAGAGGTACAGTTATAGTGGTGAGTTGTATTTCCAGACAGAGACACAGTTATAGTGGTGAGTTGTATCTCCAGACAGAGACAGTTATAGTGGTAAGTTGTATCTCCAGACAGACACAGTCATAGTGGTGAGTTGTATCTCCAGACAGAGACACAGTTATAGTAGTGAGTTGTATCTCCAGTGGTGCTTTTACATATTGTATTTGTTTTAAACATGATCTGGTTAAAAAATAGGAGGAGGATCAGATCTCGCCAGACACTGGTACAGAAATGGTTGAGAAACGCTGTACTGTACTGCCAATGTTATGTGTCAGCACTACTGCCTGTGTCTTAGTAGGGTCAGGGTGTATGTGTGTGTATGGTGTGTGTGTATGGTGGCATGCAGAGTGGTGTGGATAAAATGCCAGGGCCGACTGCTTGTCCCAGTCTGCCGCTGGAAGTTTATGGTTTTTGAATAAGGCTGCTTGAGGAGTTTGGGCTAAGATAGGGAAGAATAGAGGAGTATACCGTACTGTAAGGCAGAAAACTCAACATGTTTTTAAACGTCCACTTGTCATCTATCCAGTAGGTCCATAGGCCTCTGACCTATCTCCCCCTATGTAAATACATTTTGGGAATGTTTACAAGTAACCTGACATGAAGCCATCGAACGAGAAGTGCGAGTCATAGCTCTCGCTACTTCCCCTAAGTACTTCACCAAAGACAGTACTCTTGATTATCGTTCTCCTACCAGCAGGATATTATGCTGGCAGCACGATCGCGATTCGCGAATATATGTATAAAAAAAGTCCCCCTGCAAAGACGTGCTAAACTTTGTGAATATCGACAAAAAAAGAATAAAAATCACAGAATTGCAACCACCTCTGAAAAGATACATGGATAATTTGACATTTTAATATTGTATGATTTATACCAGCATTTCTTTTGAACGTTTACACAAATACTGGTATATTGAAAGCTTTTGTGTAGGCTATATTGAAAGAAATACACTTTTAATAAAATACAAATACAGTGGGGGAAAAAAGTATTTAGTCAGCCACCAATTGTGCAAGTTCTCCCACTTAAAAAGATGAGAGGCCTGTAATTTTCATCATAGGTACACGTCAACTATGACAGACAAATTGAGATTTTTTTTCTCCAGAAAATCACATTGTAGGATTTTTAATGAATTTATTTGCAAATTATGGTGGACAATAAGTATTTGGTCACCTACAAACAAGCAAGATTTCTGGCTCTCACAGACCTGTAACTTCTTCTTAAAGAGGCTCCTCTGTCCTCCACTCGTTACCTGTATTAATGGCACCTGTTTGAACTTGTTATCAGTATAAAAGACACCTGTCCACAACCTCAAACAGTCACACTCCAAACTCCACTATGGCCAAGACCAAAGAGCTGTCAAAGGACACCAGAAACAAAATTGTAGACCTGCACCAGGCTGGGAAGACTGAATCTGCAATAGGTAAGCAGCTTGGTTTGAAGAAATCAACTGTGGGAGCAATTATTAGGAAATGGAAGACATACAAGACCACTGATAATCTCCCTAGATCTGGGGCTCCACGCAAGATCTCACCCCGTGGGGTCAAAATGATCACAAGAACGGTGAGCAAAAATCCCAGAACCACACGGGGGGACCTAGTGAATGACCTGCAGAGAGCTGGGGCCAAAGTAACAAAGCCTACCATCAGTAACACACTACGCCACCAGGGACTCAAATCCTGCAGTGCCAGACGTGTCCCCCTGCTTAAGCCAGTACATGTCCAGGCCCGTCTGAAGATCGCTAGAGTGCATTTGGATGATCCAGAAGAGGATTGGGAGAATGTCATATGGTCAGATGAAACCAAAATAGAACTTTTTGGTAAAAACTCAACTCGTCGTGTTTGGAGGACAAAGAATGCTGAGTTGCATCCAAAGAACACCATACCTACTGTGAAGCATGGGGGTGGAAACATCATGCTTTGGGGCTGTTTTTCTGCAAAGGGACCAGGACGACTGATCCGTGTAATGGAAAGAATGAATGGGGCCATGTATCGTGAGATTTTGAGTGAAAACCTCCTTCCATCAGCAAGGGCATTGAAGATGAAACGTGGCTGGGTCTTTCAGCATGACAATGATCCCAAACACACCGCCCGGGCAACGAAGGAGTGGCTTCGTAAGAAGCATTTCAAGGTCCTGGAGTGGCCTAGCCAGTCTCCAGATCTCAACCCCATAGAAAATCTTTGGAGGGAGTTGAAAGTCCGTGTTGCCCAGCGACAGCCCCAAAACATCACTGCTCTAGAGGAGATCTGCATGGAGGAATGGGCCAAAATACCAGCAACAGTGTGTGAAAACCTTGTGAAGACTTACAGAAAACGTTTGACCTGTGTCATTGCCAACAAAGGGTATATAACAAATTATTGAGAAACTTTTGTTATTGACCAAATACTTATTTTCCACCATAATTTGCAAAGAAATTCATTAAAAATCCTACAATGTGATTTTCTGGATTTTTTTTCCTCATTTTGTCTGTCATAGTTGATGTGTACCTATGATAAAAATTACAGGCCTCTCTTGCACAATTGGTGGCTGACTAAATACTTTTTTCCCCCACTGTATATGTTATTGGAATTACTCAATAGTATCTGCAAATCTTAAATGGGTATCTTGTGCTGGGCACCAGGTTTAATACAGAGTACTGGTGACTCCTTACTCCACCCACTCCTGCAACGCAATACACGGGGATACTTATTGGTTTGTAGAGAGAACCTTTCTACCTGTTTCAGCTAAAGGGGGGTATGACACAGTCCCACTCCAAAACTAACCCTAGTTGGTTAGTAGAGACCCTACTGAGTATTTTCCACCCCACTTTAGCTGAGACAGGTAGAAAAGTTTTCTCTCTACAGCACAATTTTCTGAACATACCAGTGTCAACATTGTATTTTGTCATTATTGGTATTAATAAATATTAATTAATAAATAGAAAAATCACCCATATTTTTTTTTTTGTTTTCATAAATTACCCAGTGCATTTTCTTCTTGTCACAATAGAAGTGGCCATTCATTTAAAATGCCATATCTTTTGAATGAGTTACCCACATTGCAATGTTTTGAAATGCAGGCTTTTATTATGGTCCTCTGTAGCTCAATTGGTAGAGCATGGCGCTTGTAACGCCAGGGTAGTGGGTTCAATCCCCGGGACCACCCATACGTAAAAATGTATGCGTATATGACTGTAAGTCGCTTTGGATAAAAGCGTCTGCTAAATGGCATATTATTATTTTGAAGGCAACAAAAGTGACGTCAACGTTTGTGCTGCTGGGTGAATACAAGTGTACGGGTGACAGTACAGTAGCATGTTCAGAAACTCTTCACCGTCACTGTTTGTTGTTATTTTATGTCACCTCGAGCTAACTCTCACAAGTAGCCATCACTTTCGATAGAGCGGGACAGATTGAAGAAAACAGGTCAAGTTTATATATTTGCAACGTGCTTTGTTCTCAAAGGATAGATTCGTATATAGTGGTCGGTCAACAAGTTGTCTAATTTCAGTTACAGGTATGTGGATAACTTGGACATTCTGTTGTAGGCTATTTGAGTTGCCTAATAATAACTGATTTAATAATAATAATAATAATAACTGATTTATAGCTTAATAATGCAATGTATGGAAACATTGTCGCCAAACAGGATCCGTTTTTTGTTTGTTTTGACTGACAAGAGAGGGGGGAACGTTTGCCAACTTTTGCATACAATGTTGCCAACAATGTCTCATGATGATAGTAACTGTCCCCGCGAAATTGATACATTCAATTCGTTTGAAATGATTGATGCTGGACGAATTTGCGGCTTTTGTGGGTGGTGCACCTTTTTCTGGCAAAGCGAAACCAAACCTATTACTCATTGTGTAGTCTATTCGTTCAGTCTCTCTCCAGTCTCTCCCAAAAGTCCTTGAAATTCCTCACTATGGACCTATTTTAGTTACCCACATCAAGGGTGGTCGTGTATTGAGACCTGAGGCTAGATGCATTGACTTGTGGTCAGCATTTCATTAGTTGTGAAGCGCAGCTTGAGTGGAAATTCCACTGTTTTGCAATTCTTGTGACTTTTTCGGTTAGTCAGAGGGTCATGAATTCATCCTTCCCTTTTCTGCAACTGTCAGCTGTTTTTTAAGCAACGGCTGTAGGCCTATGGCTCTGGTGGTCTCTCTTGCCATGCACTTTAATACAATTTCCACAATATATCTCTTATTTTCTCTCTTCTCCTTATCTCTCTCACTACTCTTATCTATTTACTAATTCGATCCAATCTCCTTTCCAACTGTGTCTCTTTTTCGACCTTCTTACCCAACCGCCCTCTCTCTCTTGCTCCCTTCACTCCCACTTCCCCTCTCCCTCTAGGCGTATCTCTAGGTGACGATGGGTTCTATGTTCCGCAGTGAGGAGGAGTGCCTGGTGCAGCTCTTCCTTCAGTCTGGTTCGGCCTATAACTGTGTCAGTGAACTGGGAGAACTGGGCCTGGTCGAGTTCAGAGACGTGAGTTCTGTTCTCTCCTGACCTCGATTTGTCTCACTGGCTAAGAACTAATAGCTGTAACTAATGTCTCAACTATCTTGCTATGAATAATTACGTTTGAAATTAATGACGTGTCAACTAAATAAAGCATAGTTTGAATAACTTGTAACTAACGCTCTCTTGTGCTCTTGCCTCCGTGGTGAATCAGTTGAACCCCAACGTCAACTCCTTCCAGAGGAAGTTTGTGGGGGAGGTGAGACGATGTGAGAAACTGGAGAAAACCTTCTGTGAGTATCTAGATCTCTCACACTATCGTCTCCTAAACCAAGGTCGCTCAGTAAAACCCCTATCCTAATACGGGAAAATTATGTTTGACAGTTTTCTCCTTTATATTTATCTTTCTTTCTCTCCTTTGGCCTTTCTATCCTTCCATATCTTTCTCCCTGTCTCTCCCTCCATCTCTCTCACTTTTCATCCATCTCTCCACTCAGCGTTCCTGGAGCAGGAGATCAATAGGTCCCTGTCGCCCCCCCTCCATGGTCCCCTTCCTCCCCCCTGCCCGACTCCCTTGGCCCCCCAGCCCAGAGAGGTGCTCACCATTGAGGAGGAGAGTGAGAGGCTGGCCAGGGAGCTCAAAGAAGTGTCCAGGAACAGAGACGGTCTCAGAGCCCAGCTGACCAAGCTCAGCCAGTACAAAGGAGTTCTCACCCAGACCCACTCCCTCACCGCCTCACAGGTCAAAACTACACCTCCTCTCCTCTCTCTCTCTCTCTCTCTCTCTCTCCTCTCTCTCTCTCTCTCTCTCTCTCCTCTCTCTCCTCTCTCTCTCTCTCTCTCTCTCTCGTCTCTCTCTCTCTCTCTCTCTCTCTCTCTCATCTCTCTCTCTCTCTCTCTCTCTCTCTCTCTCTCACGCACCACTCACTCACTCACTCCACTCACTCACTCACTCACTCACTCACTCACTCACTCACTCACTCCCACTCACTCACTCACTCACTCACTCACTCACTCACTCACTCACTCACTCACTCACTCACTCACTCACTCACTCACACTCACACCCAGACCCACTCCCTCAGAGAACTAAAACTACTGTTTGGATGTGTTAAAGTCTCCCTAACTCTTTTTATTGTTTCCTCTTACAGGCTCCACCTCCTCTACGGGAAACAGTAGGCATATTGGAGCCTAACCGTCAGGATGTCCACCTCAGGTAAACATCATTGGTGAAAACGATTGCCCGTGTCTTTCAACCTTCTTTTTTTATATTGGCTGTGGACAATGAGTGATTTCCATTTTCCAGTTGGTCAACATCCACATTTGCCAATTTAACTGTTTTTTTTTGCTCATCCCTCTCTCTTCTGCAGTTTTCAGGCTGGTGTGGTCCACCCCTGGAAAGTCCCATTGTTTGAGCGGTTGCTATGGCGAGCATGCCGTGGTTACATCATCGTGAACTTCAGAGAGATGGAGGAGCAGCTGGAGCATCCTGACACGGTGAGGAGAGAGGGCGAGGAGGAGGAGGAGGAAGAAAGAAATGAAGAGAAAAGTTATACTTAAAGTAAAACTCCACCCTATCTTTTGGTATTTGTTTAATTTATCTTTTGTTATTTGTTTCATTAGGCCATAGTTGATATAGTCCCAAAATGTTTTGTATGTCAGCAATCAAGTTGCATCATATGATGCAAAATGCATCATATCGGCTGTATTTCTGTATTTTGAAAGTTATATATCTTGATTGCTGACATGCAAAACATTTTGGGACTATATCAACAATGGACTGATGAAACAAATGGCAAAAAGATTTTGGGTGGAATTTTCCTTTAAGTAAGAGTGGCAAACAAGATGGTCAATGTGTCAACATTTTTAATATGTGATGGGATTGCAGGGGGAAATGGTGCAGTGGACAGTGTTCCTCATATCTTACTGGGGAGATCAGATCGGACAGAAGGTCAAGAAGATCTGTGATTGGTGAGTAAACCTGTCCACTTCTTGTTGTGTCATTTACCCAATTGCAGTAGTCCATGTACATACTTGTTTAATGACCCTTGTCTTTCTTGCACCACCTTGATAACTTGCATTCCCAGCTTCCGCACGCAGGTGTTTGCGTACCCTGACAGCCCCACACAGAGAGAGGAGATTCTCCAGGGACTGCAGGGCAGAATTGAAGACATCAAATCTGTATGTCAGACACTACCGCTGTATAAAATACATTCACCTTCAACTTTGTTGCTGAATCACTAAAATCATTGGGAGCGAACATTTACTGTCTGTAAAGTTGCCTCGAACTCCATCTCTAATCCACACCTCCCCATTCGTCCTTCACCCCTCTGCCCTCCCCTCACCAGGTCCTCTTTCAGACAGAGCAGTTCCTCCAGCAGCTGTTGGTGCGTGCTGTAGCGGTATTGCCCCAGTGGAAGGTGCGGGTCCAGAAGTGTAAGGCAGTCCAGGCTGTACTGAACCTCTGCAGCCCCTCCGTCACCGACAAATGTCTGATCGCTGAAGCCTGGTGTCCCGTCAGCAAGCTGCCCGAACCCTGAGAGAAGGAGGGGTGAGAGAGGGGAAGGAAAGAGGGAGGGGTAGATGGGAGACAGAAGAAGGGAGAGTAGAGGTGGGAAAGAGATTGTGTGAGATTGAGTAACGCAACACAAGCGAGTTACTGGTCTTTTGTTGTCATGCTGTTTAAATGTAGGAATGGATGTCATTTTACAAAGTACCCCAAACGTGTATGTCTTTAAGCTCCCTCATCTTCTCTCTGTCCCTCCCCCTATCAGAGGAAGAGTGGCAGTGGGGTGGACTCGTTCTACAACCGCCTCCCCTGCTCCACCCCTCCTCCCACACTGTTTCCCACCAACTCCTTCACTGCAGGCTTCCAGAACATTGTAGACGCCTACGGAGTGGCCAGTTACCGCGAGGTCAACCCAGGTATCACTCAATCAATACATCAATCCATTTAGCAGTCACTTCCAACCTCTAACCATCTAACAACCCAGGGAAGAACCAGCTGCTCTAGTATATGTCAATGATCAGAACTATTATCCCCCGTTCTCTCGCTCACCCCTCTCTCTATTTTCTTCTCTCCTACTTTCTCTGGCTAACCTCTCTCCATTACCCTCGCTCTCCTTTCCCCATATCTCCCTCCTCCTTTCTCTTTTTCCCTTTCTCATTCCCTCCTCCCCCCTGACTCTGTAGCGGTGTACACCATCATCACATTCCCCTTCCTGTTTGCGGTGATGTTTGGGGACGTGGGTCATGGCCTGCTGATGTTCCTGGCTGCCCTCTGGATGGTTCTGGAGGAGAAGGACCCCAAACTCAGGAACAACACTAATGAGGTCACACAGACACACACACACAGTCACACCTTTCCATACACACCCTTTAAATTGAGAGACTGACAAATATACTGATTCAGAGGAACAGTCCTAATATAATGTCTCTGTGTGATTTAGATCTGGAGGATGATGTTTGGAGGGCGCTATCTGATCCTGTTGATGGGACTGTTCTCTGTCTACACTGGGGCCATCTACAATGAGTGTTTTAGCAGAGGACTCAGCCCCTTCAACTCCGGCTGGCATGTAGGACCCATGTTTGAGAACGGGGAGTGGAAGTAAGGACACACACACACACACACACACACACGTGTGCCCGTGCCCATCACTCACACATGCATAACAGCGCCACAATCACTTTTCTGATTGTCCTGTATGTTATGTTTACAATATGAGTTTTGTATCTCTCTCTCTTTTTCTCTTAGTCCAACAACTGTTAAAGAGAACAACTTCCTGTCCCTGGACCCTAACATCACTGGGGTTTTTACCGGACCCTATCCCTTTGGCATCGATCCGGTATGGAAATGCACCTCACACTGCCTCTTATCTTTCTTTCACTCTCCATCTCTCACTTTCCATCTCTCACTCCTCCATTTCTCACTCGTCCATCTCTCACTCTCCATCTCTGTAATGATTGTTTCAATGACTGTTCTTATGAGTAACTGTGCTGTCTGTCTGTCCCTCTCAGGTCTGGGGTCTGTCCAACAACCACCTGACATTCCTCAACTCCTACAAGATGAAGATGTCTGTCATCATCGGGGTCATCCACATGACCTTCGGAGTCTGTCTGTCCTTCTTCAACTACATGTGAGGGAACAGTGTGTGTGTGTGTGTGTGTGTGTGTGTGTCTGTAAAGGAAAGAAAGTAAACCAAATTCCATTTGATTTTCATTGAAAAGCATTGTAGAGAATTAGAATTAGAATTTTTGTGTACTTCCTGAATTGACCCCAACCCTGGTGTGTATGGAACTGCAAGGGAGTATCACTGTAATCTAATAATTTTCTCACCATCCCTCTTGCTATCCCTACCCCTCTCCCTCTACCCACCCACTTCTCTCTTTGTCTCTCTATTCACCCCTCTCTCACTCTACCCATCCCTCTCTCCCCCATCCCTCCAGACACTTTAACCAGTTGAGCAGTGTGTTCCTGGTACTGATCCCAGAGCTGTTCTTCATGCTGTGTCTGTTTGGTTACCTGGTCTTCATGGTCATTTTCAAGTGGCTGGCCTTTGACACGGCCCACTCTAACTCCGCCCCCAGCATCCTCATCCACTTCATAGACATGTTCCTATTCACCGAGAACAAGGAAAACCTACCCCTCTACGAAGGACAGGTGTCTGTCTGAATGTGGCTGTTTGAATGTGTGTGTTTTGTGGGGAAACCTGGTGGCACTGTACAGGACTGGTACAGTGAGGGAAAAAAGTATTTGATCCCCTGCTGATTTTGTACGTTTGCCCACTGACAAAGAAATGATCAGTCTATAATTTTAATGGTAGGTTTATTTGAACAGTGAGAGACAGAATAACAACAAAAAAATCCAGAAAAACGCATTTCAAAAATGTTATAAATTGATTTGCATTTTAATGATGGAAATAAGTATTTGACCCCCTCTCAATCAGAAAGATGTCTGGCTCCCAGGTGTCTTTTATACAGGTAACGAGCTGAGATTAGGGGAACACTCTTAAAGGGAGTGCTCCTAATCTCAGCTTGTTACCTGTATAAAAGACACCTGTCCACAGAAGCAATCAATCAATCAGATTCCAAACTCTCCACCATGGCCAAGACCAAAGAGCTCTCCAAGGATGTCAGGGACAAGATTGTAGACCTACACAAGGCTGGAATGGGCTACAAGACCATCGCCAAGCAGCTTGGTGAGAAGGTGACAACAGTTGGTGCGATTATTCGCAAATGGAAGAAACACAAAAGAACTGTCAATCTCCCTCGGCCTGGGGCTCCATGCAAGATCTCACCTCGTGGAGTTGCAATGATCATGAGAACGGTGAGGAATCAGCCCAGAACTACACAGGAGGATCTTGTCAATGATCTCAAGGCAGCTGGGACCATAGTCACCAAGAAAACAATTGGTAATACACTACGCCGTGAAGGACTGAAATCCTGCAGCGCCCGCAAGGTCCCCCTGCTCAAGAAAGCACATATACAGGGCCCGTCTGAAGTTTGCCAATTAACATCTGAATGATTCAGAGGACAACTGGGTGAAAGTGTTGTGATCAGATGAGACCAAAATCGAGCTCTTTGGCATCAACTCAACTCGCCGTGTTTGGAGGAGGAGGAATGCTGCCTATGACCCCAAGAACACCATCCCCACCGTCAACAATGGAGGTGGAAACATTATGCTTTGGGGGTGTTTTTCTGCTAAGGGGACAGGACAACTTCACCGCATCAAAGGTACGATGGACGGGGCCATGTACCGTCAAATCTTGGGTGAGAACCTCCTTCCCTCAGCCAGGGCATTGAAAATGGGTCGTGGATGGCTATTCCAGCATGACAATGACCCAAAACACACGGCCAAGGCAACAAAGGAGTGGCTCAAGAAGAAGCACATTAAGGTCCTGGAGTGGCCTAGCCAGTCTCCAGACCTTAATCCCATAGAAAATCTGTGGAGGGAGCTGAAGGTTCGAGTTGCCAAACGTCAGCCTCGAAACCTTAATGACTTGGAGAAGATCTGCAAAGAGGAGTGGAACAAAATCCCTCCTGAGATGTGTGCAAACCTGGTGGCCAACTACAAGAAATGTCTGACCTCTGTGATTGCCAACAAGGGTTTTGCCACCAAGTACTAAGTCATGTTTTGCATAGGGGTCAAATACTTATTTCCCTAATTAAAATGCAAATCAATTTATAACATTTTTGACATGTATTTTTTTCTGGATTTTGTTGTTGTTGTTATTCTGTCTCTCACTGTTCAAATAAACCTACCGTTAAAATGATAGACTGATCATGTCTTTGTCAGTGGGCAAACGTACAAAATCAGCAGGGGATCAAATACTTTTTTCCCTCACTGTATGTGTGTGGTAGGGCATGGAAGGGCACACAACGCACTCACTCCAAAGTACGTATTTGTCTAAGTATGCTTAATGTTAGCTGAATAATTGAAAATATAATCTATAGGCAAACAATAGTATGGCAGCATGCTCACTCCAAAATACAACCTGCACTCGTGTGTGTGTGTGTGTGTGTGTGTGTGTGACGTTCTAACTCCCTCTCTCTCTGTACTGTAGATGGTGGTACAGAATGTCCTGGTGGTGCTGGCGCTGTGTTTTGTTCCAGTCCTACTGCTGGGGAAACCCATCCATGAATACATCACACACAAGAGGAAACACCGGCACATGGTGAGCAACTGTGTGTGTGTGTCTGTTTGAACATGTGCTATGTGTATTGATTTGAGTGTAAGTATCTAGAATGACTTAGTTTATTCTTATGTGTATAACATCTGTATGTGTAATATATTTACATTTACATTTTAGTCATTTAGCAGACGCTCTTATCCAGAGCGACTTATAGTTAATATATGTATTGTGTATTAAAATATGTATTTATATACAGTATGTATTATAATGTCTGTGAGTTGGTCTGATGTGATTGTGTCTTCCAGGCAGGAGACAGACGACCCCTGTTGGCTGAGAACAGTTCCATCAACGCTCATCAGGGAGAGGTGGAGACAGGGAGTCACAGAGAGGAGGAGAAGGTGAGAGGGGGAGACAGGGAGTCACAGTGTTACCCGTGCTAGCTCCATGATTGTGGACTGCAGGAAAAAAAAAAGAGGACTGAGCACACCCCCATTCTCATCGACGGGGCTGTAGTTGAACAGGTTGAGAGCTTCAAGTTCCTTGGTGTCCACATCACCAACAAACTATCATGTTCCAAACACACCAAGACAGTCGTGAAGAGGGCACGACAAAGCCTATTCCCCTCATGAGACTGAAAAGATTTGGCATGGGTCCTCAGATCCTCAAAAAGTTATACAGCTGCACCATCGAGAGCATCCTGACTGGTTGCATCACTGCCTGGTATGGCAACTGCTCGGCCTCCGACCGCAAGGCACTACAGAGGGTAGTGCGTACGGCCCAGTACATCACTGGGCGAGAATGAGTGAAAGATGGTGGGAAGGAATTAGATGAAGGGGGAGAGGAGTGTGTGAATGGAGAATAAGATCAAATATATTATTCATAAAAAGAAATTCTATGCAATATTGTCTGTTGATTTTAGAAATGTTTGTCTCTCTCCTAGGGTGGAGTTCCAGAATAAGTTCTACAGTGGAACAGGCTACAAGCTGAACCCTTTCTCCTTCTCATCCCTGGTCCACTATGTGAACATTTAAACGATCAATGAATTATGATTGCCAAATGGTTATATTAACTTGCTCTGCACCTATCACACCCCACACATTTCAGAATGATTGCTGTCTCTTTTTGAAAGCTTGGTGTTTTGTAAAACGTGTTCAATGTCCAATAATGCATTGAGGCCTTTGCAGTATGGGATTGACTGTTTATGTGCCTATTTCAACATGCATGCTGTCATCAAAATCAGTGACTTTCTTGTTCCCTCTATGCACTGATCATGGGGTGCGTCTGTAAATTCACTTTGGCTATCTACTCTGATTTCAGAGCACTCTCGTCTGAGTTTGCCAGAGCGCAGAATAACAGGAATTTACGAACGCGCAACACCCGTTGAATATGACCAGTGTTTGCAAACAAACGTAAATAAATTGTTGCCAGCAGCACAGTTAGTCACCAACACTCTAGATAACATGAAAGCAGCCTAACCAGCTCTGCTAGGGGGAGTAAAATGGTCAGTGAAGTGTTCTCTCATTTGTGTCTGGAAGTAGCTAGCCAACTTTAGCCAGTTAGCTTGGGTGCTTGACTGCCGTTGTGAAGTCAGAACGCTCGGATCAACCCTACTCCTCAGCCAGAGCATCCAGTGTGCGCTCTGAATGCTCAGAGAGTGAAACACTCTGAATTTACGAAAGGACACTCTGACAACGCTCTGAATTTATGAGCACTCTGAGCGCACTCCAGAGTGAATTTACGAACACACCCCATGTGTCTCAACTTCCAGTAATGTACAATTAGATAATGTGTAGTTTAAATAATATATTAACAGTAATACATTCACATCCTCTCCGTTTATTGTTCTAAACATGATTTGAAAATGGTTGCAATATCTTCATAGTGTTGTTTGGTTGAATAACTCAAGAAATGGTTGCTATTGTCTTTCACACATGACCTTGATCTCAAAGTCAGTAAAGACCGAAAGGTCGCTGGTTCTAATCCCCGAGCCGACTAGGTGAAAAATCTGTCGATGTGCCCTTGAGCAAGGCACTTAACCCTAATTGCTCCTGTAAGTCGCTCTGGATAAGAGCGTCTGCTAAATGACCAAAAATAAAATAAAAATAAAATAAGGGACACACCAATTGTCTTAACTCATCTGTTGTGGTCTTGAAGAGAGTCCACATAGACATGATAGCGGTGCTGATTTTGCTATGATGGTAATATGAACAACCCTTTATGGTACTCAACACCTCCTCTTTCTTATGTCATATTTGAACACCTTAATAATTATGGAAAGGGAAACTTGTAAACTCATGTGTCATTCACATTCTGTCTGATCTGAGCAGAGAACCATCTGAATGAAGATCAATGTTTTGCCAAAGATATAAACTTCAGGAATTGCTTAAATCTCTATGATTTGTGTGCCTTTATGAGCCCATCTAGTTTTAATGTTTGGAATCTGAGGCCTCATATCTGTTATTTTAAGCCACGAAGACTGATCATGGAACACATTCAAGCCTTATGGAACAATTGTTAGTCTGCTGCATTCTCTGTATGATGGTTCACATCGTACTGTCTGTTTGTTTGCTCTATCACTGTGTTAAACTCTAGGGCTGAAATTAAATTAAATACCGTTTTTTTCCTGATGATTCTTGTGTGGGTGTACGATTTGACTTATTCCTATTGTAGAAATTAGGCAAGTCGGCCATTTTCTTTTTAAATTATGCACATGAATCAATATTGTTCTCATTTCGTCTCAATTTAATTATTTCATTTTCACTTTAATAATTGTATAAGTCAATTTAAACCAATAGAACCAGCTACAGTGTGGGGTATGCATGTGGTGCGAGGAAGAACCGGATGTTGTCAAAGATGACGAAAAAGGAAGTGATCCATACAAAGTGTCAAAGATGGCGGCACACATGTCAAGGCGAATGCTGCTTAAATAATATCTGCAATTATCCTGTTTTCTCTATGTTATGAGTCGCTAAAGTGGATAATTAAGTATAGACTGCACTTTATTACTCATATATGACCACAAAAGGAACGAGGAGATGGCAGTTTTGGGTGAATTAAGTCGAAACGTGCGGTTATTACTAGGTCAAATTCAAAGGTGCGGGCAGAGTGGGTCTGCAATAAACCAATATCTGAAATCAGGTAAGAAACCACTGCTCCTCGTTGATGCCAAATGTGTTATGTGTAAATGATCATGTTTATAAAAATGTCAATTGCGTTAGCATGTTCTTAATGCTGCTCTAGACACCACCATGTTCTTGATCCCCCTCCTCTCTCCAGTCCGTTGTATGAGCCTGGCGGCGCCCCAGCTCCAGCCCACTGTAGATGATAATGAAGCCGTGAACCCGACATTTGTAAACAGAAACCCGCGGAACCTGGAGCAGATGGCTCTAGCGGTGAAGGACAGGGGCTGGAGAACAACCTGGCCCTCCCAAAAGTTCTACCACAGGTGTGTCTCTCGCTCTGTGTGTTCATACATTGGATAAAGAGATTGACACTAGAAAGGCAGACATACAGATTGACACTCCTTTTATAACCCCTTTTGTCTTTCCCCTACTCTTCTCCATCTCTCTTCATGCCCTTACCCCTTGCTTCTCCACCAATCTCCTCACTTCTCTCCTCCTTCAGGTTGGTTTTCTCTCGCTCCCAGCACCACGTAACAGCTGAGGTGTTTGCCAATGGTGATCCTGTCCCTGTGCTGTCGTGTTCCACCAAAGAGTGGGCCCTGAAGCGTGAGCTGGGTTCTACCCGTTGTGTGGCAGCCAGTCAGGCTGTGGGCGAGGTGCTGGCACAGAGGTGTCGTCAAGCTGGCATAACTAGGATGGTGTACAGACACATCCCCTGGCAGTACCGCTCGGATGCTGTAAGTACTGGCGGCAGTGCGGGGGGTTGTGACATCCCTTGACAGTACTGATAGAATGCTATGAGTACAGAGACGTGTGTGTAACATGCTTCATGTTGTTCAGTGTTTGTTGAGTAGTTGGAAACAGCCATGGTTAGGAAGATACACAGCCAGAGCCCTATACTATGAATCTGGTTTGAGGAGCTTTGGTCCACCTTTTAGCCAGGTCAATTTATAATAATAATAATAATATGCCATTTAGCAGACTTCAATTTCTACGGCAATGAATCCTTCATAGCTAACCTGCTCCGGGGCAGGCTAACTCCAATTATCTTGAATGAAGCGTTTGATCCTTGAGTTGAGGACCAATCAAAGTATACTGAACAAAAATATAAACGCAACATGCAACAATTTCAAAGATTTTACTGAGCTACAGTTCATATAATGAAATCAGTCAATTGAAATAAATTCATTAGGCCCTAATCGATGGATTTCACATGACTGGGAATACAAATATGCATCTGTTGGTCACAGATACCTTTAAAAAAAAAATTGGGGGCGTGGATCAGAAAAGCAGTCAGTATCTGGTGTGACCACAATTTGCCCCATGCAGCGCGATACATCTCCTTCGCATAGAGTTGATCAGTCTGTTGATTGTGGCCTGTGGAATGTTGTACCACTCCTCTTTAATAGCTGTGCAAAGTTGCTGGATATTGGCGGGAACTGGAACACGCTGTTGTACACGTCGATCCAGAGCATCCCACACATGCTCAATGGGTGACATGTCTGGTGAGTATGCAGGCCATGGAAGAACTGGGACATTTTCAACTTCCAGGAATTGTGTACAGATCCTTGCGACATGGGGCCGTGTATTATGCTGAAACATGAGGTGATGGTGGCAGATTAATGGCACGACAATCTCTGTGCAATCAAATTGCCATCGATAAAATGCAATTGTGTTCGTTGTCTGTAGCTTATGCCCATACCATAACCCCACCACCACAACATTGACATCAGTAAACTGCTCGCCCACACGACGCCATACATGTGGTCTGCGGTTGTAAGGCCAGTTGGACGTACTGCCAAATTCTCTAAAACTACATTGGAGGCGGCTTATGGTAGAGAAATTAACATTCAATTCTATGGCAACAGCTCTGGTGGACATTCCTGCAGTCAGCATGCTAATTGCACGCTCCCTCAACATGAGACATCTGTGGCATTGTGTTGTGACAAAACTGCAAATTTTAGTGGCCTTGTCCCCAGCACAAGGTGCACCTGTGTAATGATCATGCTGTTTAATCAGCTTCTTGATATGCCACACCTGTCAGGTGGATGGGTTATGTTGCCAAAGGAGAAATGTTAACTAACAGGGATGTAAACAAATTTGTGCACAAATTTGAGCGAAATAAGCATTTTGTGCATATGGAAAATTTCTGGGATCTTTTATTTCCGCTCATGAAACATGGGACCAACACTTTACATGTTGCGTTTATATTTTTGTTCAGTGTAGATTCCCTCCCTCTCGCAAAGATTGCGTCATCATCCGGATCATATTTGAGGAAGACAACTGATTAAAGGTGCAATATGCAGAAATCGCTTAGCCATTTTCTGGTAGCTAAAATAAACTATAATGGAAAATATTGTATTTTAAGCTGGTGTAAAAAACAAAAGTAAAAGACTCAAAAACGAAACTGAACAGGAAGCATAGAAATAACGCACATAGAACAGATCTACTGCTTCTAAGACTTGCTTTCATTGAGAATGACAGATCTATAGCTCAGATGTCTATGTGAATTTGGTTGGGTTGCCCAGAAAGTTACATATTGCACCTTTAAATATTTTATTAATCAAATGTGTTAAGAGTAATATTCAAATACATATCAGGATGCATTTGAAACTTCATGTGCAGTAAACATTTCGTATGACTTAATATAATTGTTTTATCGATAGTGGGGGAAAAGGGACTCATGCATTGATAAGCACACCAAAGACGACATTTAAATAAGACAGCACTTCAATCAGCCCATTTCACACCATAGCCTGCTGAATTTGCAGGTTAACTTTTTTCATTTTGATTTTGGCAAAAATTAAAATGTGGCACTAACTGGCCCATGGATTGATGTTTCAGCATTGTTCAATGAAGAGTTTGGCGTTTGAGTAGCCATGTGCGACATGAATGCACAGTTACAAGCCCGGCTAGAGTAAGCCGGCGGCATGATCAATATCCGTAACATGGATGAAGCCTGAGCTGGAATGTGGCGCAAACTGAACCTAACTAATTTCAGAAAAGCCTGAGTACATCTAGCTCGATTTGTAGTATACCCCTCAGGTGTTGTGTGTTTCTTTTTCAGGTTCAGTCCTTCCGGACAGCAATGAAAGAGGGAGGAGTCACCCTCAGTGAACCGCGGCAGAAATTCATCGGGAACTAAGTGCAAAGGCTCCTAATAGCCTATAAACAAAATATTCTCCCTTTGTTTGTGTTGACACAAATGGCCCATTTTCACACAAACATTTTATTTATACATCAGTGTGTAATTCAATAAAAAGGCAGACAAATGAACATGACATGGTTTCAGTATAATCTTTTTATTAATTCACCCATACAGTATAGCTGTAAACAAACGTGTAAACGCAGCCATAGATGAGATACAGGTCATTTATCGATTCGATCTTAGTACAGCAGAGGTTGGATCAGGCAGTGTCAATGGCATGATGTGGTGGTGGAAACCTGTTTTATAATGGTTTAATGGTGAATATAGAAAGAAAGGGTGCTCAACCAACGTGAGTAGAGGCGCAACCTAAAAATTTGTAAACATCATTGGTGAATATACAAATCACGGCCAGCTGAATACATTTTTAAAAAAAAATCATTGGATCGATAAGGAAGCCAGCATGAAGAGCATAAGGTCCATCCAGTCAACTGAGGAAAGTTCAGAAACGTTCACCATAATGCTGAATCTACCTCAATCCTTTAAAAAGTCCCAAATAGACAAACACTCATACATAAAAACCCTACCCTGACCACCTCCCAAACATCATGCAAGTTCAAAACATGGATAGCATGCACCTGGTCATAATCAGCAAAGCCCAAGCATACACAGTGGAACGCAAGGAACAAGACTAAATACATTTAATCAATATGAAAAAATGCCACCACCTCAGAGAAATAGCAATATACTGTAGATATTATAAATACTTTAAATTAGGGTCTTTCAGGAAATAACTTGGACGTGGGACCAAAATAACCAAGGCACTCATACAGCAAGGCTATTTGTGAAATGACTGTGACAAAGAAGAAATAAAAAAAACATCAAATAGATTTAACATCTGAGATTTTTAAAGATGATAGGAATTTTTCTAAAGACATTCAGTAAATATGTTGTCTTGAGATTAACTCAAGGTCAAAGTTTATTGGCACAGAGGAACACATTGGCATACAGTTTGGTGCCCTTGGATTGGTCCTGAATTGGTCCAGAATAATAGTTTAAAACAGTCACTCAATATTATATCTCCCAGTTGTCAATACTTTTGAATGACCTGCTATTTTGAAACATCTCAGTGAGAAAATGCAAGTTTTGATCATTGAACCAGTTTGTTTTAGCATTACATTTTCATAAACTCTAAAGATATGGTATGTGTGTTATTAAAATTTTTAAAAATGAATAGAGAATGGCACTTAATGCATACAATAACAACCCCAACTGGCAGCATACAGCCTCAAATTCACATTAGAACATTAAAGGAATCATTGCATAGATATCATTAAACCATTGATATGCCATGAGGAGAGAGAGGGCGGGCAAACTCCATATGGATGTGGTATGATACGTACTGAAATACAGATGTACATGCATTCCAAGTTCTATGGACCGTAGGTAAGTCTAACCAGAAATACTAGGTTTTTGTCATACACATATTGGTGTCGTTATACTGCAGTGACATTAAAACAATGAGCCATCACTACCAATGGAGTGTAAATGGTTTGGTGAACAGTGATACATTAAAACAGTGGTCACTAACCTCTGAGTCATAATGCAAGCCGAGATCTACCGCTCAGATAACAAAAAACATGACATTAAAAACACAAGCCTATGCAACATTAACCAATTAAAAACAGTTCTGTGGCAATGAGGTTTGTGCAGTAGGCTATAGGCCCAATACATTATCACTGCATATTGGCTACCCTTTAATTGCCCAGCCAATGTTGTTCTTCTCAGACCATTTTGAAATTGTATTTCAAAATTGTAGGTATATGATCACACTGGTAATAGATCATTTGTTGTATTACTTGTGAGGTACAGCTGAGGGAGCATAATATATATATATTTTTTGTACTGGACTGATGGCCTGCTTCTGATGGTCAGTCTGAGGGGAGGAAGGGAGCAGCGGTCCCTCTCACTCTCCCTCCGCTGAGAAAAGGGGACACAGTCTTAATCCATCTGATGGCGAAATTTAAGTCGCACTGCATTATTTCTGCCTCATGCACCAATTCATGTTGACCAGAGAAAGTGAAATATTCCTCTATTAAAAAGGACACAAGCAGCATATAATGCAAGCTTATCGAAACACGCATTTTATGTCTTATAAAACGGTTGAACAAAGTGTTGACAGCAGTGGAGGCTGGTGGGAGGAGCTATTGGAGTATGGGCTCATTGTAATGACTGGAATGGAATAAATGGTACAGTCAAACATTTGGTTTCTATATGTTTGATACCATTCCATTTTTTCCATTCCAGCCATTACAATGAGCCCGTCCTCCTATAGCTTCTCCCACCAGCCTCCACTGGTTGACAGTTTTGAGTAACAACTTAAACATGCACAGCTCTTTGCTGTATTCGTCGAGTCCCTCTAGTCATGGTTTTAAGTTTTTAAATCTCACATTATCAACTTTGCTGTGGGTTCGAGGCTTCTTTTTACAGTCTATGGCACGAGGAAACTGCAGACATGGTGATCTGAGCTATCTGATTGGCCAGCGGTAGGCCTATAGGTGCACTTGATTTGCTCTCTGGGCCTGCCGAGTAAGGGGTGTTCTACCTTCAGACACATGAAATGGTCAAAATATGAACACTGCCTTCCTGGCGCTAGGGCTGCTGAATCAAGTGCACCTACTGTCAACAGCGCAAAAAAATAAAAGGAATGCAAGGCTTTATCGGTTTTTTTTAACAATGTTTGGTGATCGACTAGAATGGCTTGGAGATCGACCAGTCGATCGATCAGTTGGTGACCACTGCATTCAAATAACCAAACAGGAAATATTGTGCAAAAGGCATGACTGTTAAATAATCTATAATATAATGATGATGATAGTTGGTCTGATGTATATAGATATATTAGGGTAATTCTTTCATGTTTATAGCTTGAAAGTGGGCGGAACATTTCATCTCTTCCTATTAGCGTCTCCTCTAGGCTTCTCATTCTCCATTCCTTCTTCCTCTTTACCGCCCCTCCATTGTCTTGGCATCTCCTTCCCCGGTCTCAGGTTTGCTTGGCCCCGCCTCTTCCCGTTTTCTGAGTCCTGATAGGCTGCTTGGCTCAGGTGAAACGTCCACATGGGCCCTCTGATGCATGAGGCCTTTCCGTCCATAACTCCGCCTCCGTTGCCCTGGAGACCTCCGGTGACTGTTGGCAATCTACGCCAGTGAATGATAAAGGGTAAGAAAAACTGTTGCTCTTGAATTTCACTCTTTCCCCATCTTTTACTTCTCTTACCTGTTCATGCCTTAGGTCCTCGTCTTCCAGTTCGTTGATGGACTGCATGAGAGAGAAGAGGTTCATCCTGCCACTGCGACTGGGGCTGTGAGAAGTCACCTAGAGTGGAAGGGAGGGAGGGAGGATATTAGAGATTGATAAACAGGTTGGTTTTGACATTGATTCAGTGTAATCTAATGTTAGAGAAGGTATTGTCATGTCACTACATTTGTGAGAGGTTGCCCACCTTGTCACTGTCCTGTACAGTGATGAGGGGATTGGATGCAGCCGGTTCCGTGGATAGAGCAGCCTGTTCCATGGATGGAGCTTCTGGGTCAGTCTCAGACTTGTGGGCAGGCTCTTCAAATACCTGGTCAAGAGAGAGATTGAGAGAGATTTATGATTGCTTCAAATAATTCAAATATAATAAATTGCCACAAAATATAATTAATCCAGATCTTGACAATATCATCCTAATCATAAATATTTCCTAACCATCTCTTTATCTGCCTCATCAACTTCATCCAGACTCTCCAACTCTTCCTCCTCCTCCTCGCTCTCCTCCTCCTCCTCCTCCTCCTCCTCCTCATTGCTGTGTGAAGCAGCAGACTGCTCTCTCTCAATCTTCCTCTGCTCCTTCTCTGCCCGTGACTTCCACCTCCAGAGAGCGCTATGGCGCTGCTGACTGGAATGTAGGGTACAGTAAACATACAGGTGACGTTAACATTGACATTTACATTTTAGTCATTTAGCAGACGCTCTTATCCAGAGCGACTTACAGTTAGTGAGTGCATACATAATTTTTTTTATACTGGCCCCCCGTGGGAATCAAACCCACAACCCTGGCGTTGCAAACGCCATGCTCTACCAACTGAGCTACACCCCTGCCGGCCATTCCCTCCCCTACCCTGGACGACGTTGGGCCAATTGTGCGCCGCCCCATGGGTCTCCCGGTCGCGGCCGGTTACGACAGAGCCTGGATTCGAACCAGGATCTCTAGTGGCACAGCTAGCACTGCGCTGCAGTGCCTTAGACCACTGCGCCACTCGGGGACACACACACGCGCGTTAATTAACCTGGCGTTGAGGATGCCGCTGTAGGTGTGGAGCTGCTTCATGAAGCCGTCGTTGGGCTGGACGATGGGCCTGCGGTCCCTGACGTAGGACAGAGCCACTTCCAGGGACCAGCGCTGCTGTTTCATGGCGTAGGCCACCACTGTGGACCCAGAGCGAGACACGCCCATCTTACAGTGCACCAGCACCGCCTGGCCACTCTGCCTATTGGGAGGGCAGAAAGGGGTTGTGTCATCATTGTGTGACTAAAATGAACAGTGTCATCCTTGAGACTTTCACTGGCTTATTCAGGGTGGCACATCGTTAACACATCATTCAAACAGTAAAAAATATTATAGAATAGACATAAATCGACTTAAAATCCATATCATTACAGCGCAATGCAGGGAGAAGGTCTACGAGTGAGAGGAGGAAGAGGAGGGTGAGACTACCTGGCTGTGTTGATGAAGGTGTATGTGTCTTTCCAGTGTGACAGCAGGTCTGTAGCCTCCACGTCGTACACTCTGATGTTCATGTAGCTGAAGGATTCTGGGAAAAAGTTGTCGATCTCCCGCGTCACGTTCAGGATGTAGCCCACACTGCAATGTCATTGGCAGACACTTAGTTACCCAGCAACAACACAACACATTGGCTTGCTCATTTGCTTACGCACCTTCCATACGTCAATAACAAGCGTACAAACACACATGGCAGTAAATGAAAAGTTTACTTGTTTTTCTGTAGCTCCTCAAAGTTGGCAGCATTCCACTCAGAGCCCTCAAAAGACACACACAGAGAGAGAGAGAGAGAGAGAGAGAGACCGAGCCTTATTCACCAGCCTGGAGAGGAGAGGGCCAGAGCTTTCTATTCACCAGCTGTAAACACTAGGCTGGAGTCGTGACCAACTCTTGGCTACAGTACACTTCCTGTGATGATCATCCCCGGGGAGATGTCTTTACAACTTAAATCCCCTAGAGTCCATCTAAGTAACATAATAAAAAAATAACCAACAAAATCCGTCAGTTTAAACTAGAGTTTTTTTTGTATGGGTTGAGTCTCAATCCACCGCATCCGCCTATGTCGCCCTTCCGCATCTGCAGTGGAAAGTGGCAGAGCTACAGCGCTGTTTATCAGACCAGGAGGCATCCTGAAAATCGGTCTTCTCACAAAAATGTCTGTAGCATTTCGAACGGTTTGGCCTACAAATTAATATGACCAATCTACGACCCCCACAAGTGTCACGGGACTTGTTGTAAAGGTAACCCATACCGCTCCACATGATCAAGGTTAGGATTTGGGATTGGGTAAGCCGATCAGATCTGTGGTTAGGGGCTACTGCTGTGTGGCATAGGTCGAAGGTGACATTGTTAAGGGTCAGATGGGACTCACCAGGAACAAGTAGTCAAATATTTTGGAGGGCTTGTCCATCTGCGCCATGGTGACCATCATCTCGTTGTCAATGTATTCCTTGTAGTTCTTCATGTCCATGCCTATCCTGGTCTCCAGGGCACTGCGGACCTGGGGACGGAGACAGGAGCAGGATGGCCAACTGAACAACGCAACGCCATATTTGCTCCCAATGAGCATTCAATCCGTCCATGAGGTTAAAATGAGCTTTTGAGCTCTGGTTCTGACTTGGCCGGTTTAAATGGCTTGTGTTACAGGTAAAGTGTCATAGATACGGACACAGACTCTACAAGTCATTTCGGTCATAGACTGTAGACAGACTCCCTGTATATTACCATATCGATTATGATCAATTCTATCAAGTGATCTACTTCCACTTCGGTTGCATTTCAGCCACTTGAGGCAGCTATCGCCTTCGCCTGTGACCTTGCCAAGTATTGGGCTTATTTCATGAAAAGTGCTTTTTTTAAATGTATTATATTACATCTTTGTGGTACCTGTTTGGAGGTGATATTCTCTAGGTCTTCTGTTCTCATGATGTCTCTGAGCTCCTCTTTGATCTGCCGCTCCACAGACACCCTATCTGTCGAGCTGCATACAGACAAGACAGAGAGAGACAGAGTATGACTACCTGCTTCCCCTTCCACATCTAGCCGACATACACACACACACACACACACACACACCTCTGCCCGGCGCTGTCCCTCCTGAGTGACTCCAGGCCCGTCATGGCTCCCCACTCGTTGAGACAGAAGCGGTCAGACTCCACATGACCGTAGTAGTGTTGGGCCCAGTCCAGTCCACAGCCTGGGATCACTGCCCCCTTCACCGCCCGCTCACAGCAGCCATGGAGTGCCTGCAGCACTGACCTGGGGACAGCGGAGACACACATCAGGGTCTACACAGTGAAAAAGACTAAAGGCCATTATGGATGAAAGCGTAGAGGTTTTAGGTCATCCTATTACAGTACTGAAAGGGAGTATCGTGTGTGTGTGTGTGTGTGTGTTTACTGTATTTGTCAACAATATCCAGCCCACCACACAGTCTGTATGGAAACAAGCTTGAATAAAACCTACCACAGTCTGTATGGAAACAGGTTGGAATAAAACCTACCACAGTCTGTATGGAAACAGGTTGGAATAAAACCTACCACAGTCTGTATGGAAACAGAATTGAATAAAACCTACCACAGTCTGTATGGAAACAGAATTGAATAAAACCTACCACAGTCTGTATGGAAACAGGTTGGAATAAAACCTACCACATAGTCTGTATGGAAACAGGCTTGAAGATTCTCGTCTTTTCTGCAGACGTGACACTGAAACCACTGAGAAGGTGAGAAAAAATAAAAAGGGAGGGTGATTGAGAGAGAAAGAGTGCAACACAGATGGATGGTGTGTGTGTGAAAGAGAGAGGGAGAGAGATAGCATCATTGCAGTGTGAAGGTATGATCCTGCTAATGGCAGACACCCAGTCAGTGGGTGTGAGAGTCGTGGTGTGACAGAGACACTTCACAGAGACAGCATGTGAACCCTATTACCGCTACACAGAACAAGACAGGGCTACAACATCAATTGAATGCGGTTTCTTACTCCTGGTTAAGATTGGAGGTGGAGTAATCTGATCCTAGATCTGTGGTAAACGGAATCTTCTCCCTTGAGGCAACACTGCTGCACACCCAGGTCAACGAAGCAACACATTCCCACCACACACCAGAACAGCCAAAAGCTCTACATAAACTTTACAGTCAACGCTTAAACACATTGTGAACAAACTATTGAAATAATGGCGCCGGAGGGGATGGCCACCGTTTTACAGGCTCCTGGCCAACTGTGCTTTTTATTTTTACATAATGTTTAGGCCATCGTTTCATATGACCGAAAAGAGCTTCTGGACATCAATACAGCGATTACTAACCTGGATTTGGCCATAATCTGACCATAACTCCATCCTCTTAATTCCTGCTTACAAGCAAAAACTCAAAAAGGAAGTACCAGTGATGTGCTCAATACGGAAATGGTCCGATGAAGCGGCCGCTAAGCTACAGGACTGTTTCACTAGCACAGAATGTAAAATGTTACGGGATTCATCTGACGGCATTGAGGAGTTTACCACATCAGTCACCGGCTTCATTAATAAGTGCATCGATGACGTAGTCCCCACAATGACCGAACGTACATATCCCAACCAGAAGCCATGGATTACAGGCAACATCCGCACTGAGCTAAAGGCTAGAGCTGCCGCTTTCAAGGAGCGTAACACAAATCCGGACCCTTATAAAAAAATCTTGCTACGCCCTCCGACGAACTATAAACAGACGCGTACTCGGAGCATGCGCTGACCAGCTAGCAAGGTGTCTTCACTGACATTTTCAACTTCTCCCTGACCCAGTCTAATAACCCACGTTTCAAGCAGACCACCATAGTCCCTGTGCCCAAGAACGCCATGGTAACCTAAATGACTGATGTAGTACTCACATCAGTAGCCATGAAATGCTTTGAAAGGCTGGTCATGGCTCACATCAACACCATCATCCCAGACACTTTGGACCTACTCCAATTTGCATACTGCCCCAACAGATCCACAACTTCTCCCTCAATGTCAGCAAGACAAAAGGAGCTGATCGTGGACTACAGGAAACAGAGGGCCGAGCACGCCCCCATTCACATCGACAGGGCTGTAGTGGAGACGGTCGAGAGCTTCAAGTTCCTTGGTATCCACATCACTAAGGACCAATCATGGTCCAAAAACACCAACACAGTCATGAAGAGGGCACGACAACACCTCATACACCTCAGGAGGCTGAAAAGGTTTGGCATGGGCCCTCAGATCCTCAAAAAGTTATACAGCTGCACAATTGAGAGCATCTTGACAGGCTGCATCACCGCTTTGTATGGCAACTGCTTGCGTATGGCCCAGTACATCACTGGGGCCGAGCTCCCTGCCATCCAAGACCTCTATACCAGGTGGTGTCAAAGGAAGGTCCTAAAAAGGGTCAAAGACTCCAGCCACCCAAGTCACAGTCTGTTCTCTCTGCAACGTACAGCAAGCGGTACCGGAGCGCCAAGTCTGGGACCAAAAGGTTCCTGAACATCTACCCCAAAGCCATAAGACTGCTACCTGGACTTTCTATTTCTCACCCCCTACCTACATTTCCATAGTACTTAAATCAGTCACCTAACCAAACATACAGGTACATATTACCTTAAATCAATCAATCACCCTAACTACCTCGTACCCCAGTACACTAACTCGGTACCGGTACTCCTTGTATACAGCATTGTTGTTATTTTATTACTTTTCTTTTGATCTATTTGTTAAATTTCTTACTTTTTAACTGCATTGTTGGGAAAGGGCTCATAAGTGAGCATTTCACTGTAAAGTCCACAATTGTTGTATTCGGCACATGTGACAAATAAAATGTTATTGGATTTTATTAGAAAGTACTTATGCAGTGAATGCAGATGTTTTAAGTGTTGACCTAAGGGGTGACATAGTGACATAAACAAATTGAGAATAATCCAAGTACATAAACAGAGAGAGATTACTCATTGGTATTACTATGTCTGCCCAGCCACCAAGATGCCAGGCCAACCGTGCTGTGGCAAAGGCTCAGCAAGCTACTTCCTAGTTTCCTCATTTGACTCCTGCACTCTTTCAGTTCATCCCTCCATCTTTCTCTTTCACTCACAACAACACGTTTTTAACGCTTACCCATCTCCGTCCAGATACACTTGTGTGTCGCTCCATATCGGCACAACCAGACCGATAGTACACTGACCACTGAAAGAAACAGAGACAGATTGTTTTCATTCATTTCTCTTTGTTTGGCAACATTTACTAGATTTATTTTCTATCAACGTAAGTCATTCTCTAGACTGGTCTAAGGTAGGGCTGGGCGATATGGCCAAATTGAACGGTATGACAGTATTTTATGTTTTTTAATAATACAAGTTCTAAATGTGCTTTATGAGTAGTGCGTGACCCTAGGGTGGCAACACATACATTCTAAGTGATTTCAATGGGTCTTTCTCCATACTGATTGTTTTACACTGTTCAAATAATTATTTGCATTTTCAACAATTTCTGCATTTCCTGCACTCATTTGACATCATTTCCACACTGCCACGTAGGGCTGCACGATATGGGCAAACAATCTAGGCCTTATTTTTAACCAAATGTTGCACTTTAGAGCAATAACACTTGGGTTAACTATTGGAATTACGGAAATAGAATGATTATTCTAATTCTATAGTTAAAATATAATAGTGGGCACTTTGAATACAGTGTTGTTTGACATGACAATGAATGAAAATGCCAGGTAGGAGTTATTGTGACAGGGTAGGAACCAAAGTGTTGATAAGTGTTTCCTAGGGGACGCTATAATCTTTGGCTACATTGAATGTTCTCTTAGCTACGTTATGTAGCTAACATATTAATGCTTTGCATATTCTTCTTTGATTTAGAAGATACTATTGTACAAACAACATGCTGATTTAGGTCTACACCCTCACTGGTATTATCAGGCTGTATAGCTAGTTACGTTTGCTCTGACTTAGTACATTTATTAGTTCGCTAGCTAGCTAACTAGCAATTAGTGGCGAACAAGATTTAGGCCCAACTTGCTAAGAAAAGCCAAACACGCTGTTTGCAGATGTAAGAAACACAAACTAAGTGTAATTATAGAACGCTAGAGGATTTATATTAAGTAGTAAGTGAAAACAGCATCGTTGTACATTGTTGCATGTGCTGCATTTACCATGCAGACTGAAAGCAAGTGTCTCGTGGTCGAGGAACAACAAATGCGCTCCTTGAGTGACAGGGGGCGGGGCTAGGTCTGTGTGGAAAGCGGCATGGAGAGAGAGAAAGCGCGGAGAGAGATGACTCAAGTAGCGAAGTAAACTATAAAAATGGACGTTACACACGGCGTATCACATTTAACAAACCAAAACATTCAAATACCGTTATAGAAGGCAAAGTAAAAACCCAAACCGGTCCGTGCATCAGTACCGGTATATCGTAAAATACGGAATACTGCCCAGCAAAGGGTCTAAGGTAACCACAGCAACCACTGTACACCTCTACTGAAACAATGACAACAGCACACACCTGTCTGTGTCGGGGAAGTCCATCCCCAGTAGAATGCTCTCCTGTTTGTTACTGAAGGTGGAGACTACGATCAGATAACGCACCCGGACTGGACTCACTGACTCCAACCTCACCGCCTGCATGGAGATGGGGAGGTGGGAGAGAGGAGAGGAGAGAAAGGAGGGATAAGGGACGACATGTACAGGTAGGGTTGAGACAGGGATAAAGGGCATTTATACACTGAACAAAAATATAAACACAACATGCAACAATTTCAAAGATTTTACTGTGTTACAGTTTATATAAGGACATCAGTAAATTTAATTAAATTAATTAGGCCCTAATCTATGGATTTCACACGTCTGGGAATACAGATATGCATCTGTTCGTCACAGGTACCTTAAAAAAAGGTAGGGGGCCTGGATGAGAAAAGCAGTCAGTATCTGGTGTGACCACCATCTGCCTCATGCAGCGCAACACATCTCCTTCACAGAGTTGATCAGGCTGTTGATTGTCGCCTGTGGGTGACATGTCTGGTGAGTATGCAGGCCATGGAAGAACTGGGACATTTTCAGCTTCCAGGAATTGTGTACAGATCCTTGCGACATAGGGCCTTGCATTATCATGCTGAAACATGAGGTGATGGCGGTGTATGAATTGCACAACAATGGGCCTCAGAATCTCGTCACGGTATCTCTGTGCATTCAAATTGCCATCGATGCACTTGTGTTTGTTATCCGCAGCTTATGCCTGCCCATACCATAACCCCACTGCCACAATGGGGCACTCTGTTCACAACGTTGACATCAGCAAACCGCTCGCCCACGTCTGCCATCTGCCCGGTACCGTTGAAACCGGGATTCATCTGTGAAGAGCACACTTCTCCAGTGTGCTAGTGTCCATCGAAGGTGAGCATATGCCCACTGCAGTCGGTTACGACGCTGAACTGCAGTCAGGTCAAGATCCTGGTGAGGACGACGAACATGCAGATGAGCTTCCCTGAGTGTGTGTATAAATTATTCGGTTGTGCAAACACAGTTTCATCAGCTGTCCGGGTGGCTGGTCTCAGACGATCCTGCAGTTGAAGAAGCCGGATGTGGTCCTGGGCTGGCGTGGTTACACGTGGTCTGCGGTTGTGAGGCCGATTGGACGTACTGCCAAATTCTCTAAAACGTTGTTGGAGGCAGCTTATGGTAGAGAAATGAACATTCAATTATCTGGCAACAGCTCTGGTGGACATTCCGGCAGTCAACATGTCAATTGCGCGCTCCCTCAAAACTTGAGACATCTGTGGCATTGTGTTGTGTGACAAAACTGCACATTTAATGGCCTTTTATTGTCCCCAGCACAAGGTGCACTTGTGCAATGATCATGCTGTTTACCCTTTACGGGATCGGTGTTCCGTATACGGGACGGTTGAGCTAACGTGTGCTAATGTGATTAGCATGACTGTTGTAAGTAACAGCAAACTTTCCAGGACATAGACATGTCTTATATGGGCAGAAAGCTTAAATTCTTGTTAATCTAACTGCACTGTCCAATGTACAGTAGCTATTACAGTGAAACAATAACATGCTATTGTTTGAGGAGAGTGCACGACAACAAAAAACGTATTATGGCAACTGGTTTGATACATTCACCTCTGAAGGTATATAATGTACTTACATTCAGTAATCTTGCTCTGATTTGTCATAGTTTTGTTTGATAAAATCAATTTGTATATTTCAAATGTAGGAACTGGGTTCTACAGTTTGAACCCCTCCTGTCTCTGGCTCCACACCCACCCCCCGCCCGGCCATCTAGATGTGTGAAAGTTAGTGTATAAGCTAATGATCCATCATGTATGACATTCCTGGGAGTGTATAAACTTACATTTTGTATTACCATATCATTTTTGTATGTTCTCTATAGTTATGTACTTGAAAATGTATCAATTGACCAATTCGGCATATTTGGGCATACTTGATACAAAATAGTCCAGTATTGAAATGCTTCACTGGATCAATCTGAAACTTTGCACACACACTGCTGTCATCTAGTGGCCGAAATCTAAATTGCGCCTAAACTGCAATATTATTTTTTTATTTAGTCATTTAGCAGACGCTCTTATCCAGAGCGACTTACAGTTAAGTGAGTGCATACATTTATATTTTTCATACTGGCCCCCCGTTGGAATCGAACCAAACCCTGGCGTTGCAAACGCCATGCTCTACCAACCGAGCTACATCCCTGCCGGCCATTCCCTCCCCTACCCTGGACGACGCTGGGTCAAATGTGCGTCAACCCAATGGATCTCCCGTTCGCGGCCGGCTACGACAGAGCCTGGATTCGAACCAGGATCTCTAGTGGCACAGCTGCGCCACTCGGGAGGCCATATTGGCCACACTCTTGGCATTCTTGGCATTCTCTTAACCAGCTTCATGAGGTAGTCACCTGGAATGCATTTCAATTAACAGGTGTACCTTTGTAAAAGTTAATTTGTGGAATTTCTTTCCTTCTTAATGCGTTTGAGCCAATCAGTTGTGTTGTGACAAGGTAGGGGTGGTATACAGAAGATAGCCCTATTTGGTAAAAGACCAAGTCCATATTATGGCAAGAACAGCTCAAATAAGCAAAGAGAAATGACAGTCCATCATTACTTTAAGACATGAAGGTCAGTCAATACGGAACATTTCAAGAACTTTGAAAGTTTCTTCAAGTGCAGTCGCAAAAACCATCAAGTGCTATGATGAAACTGGCTCTCATGAGGACCGCCACAGGAATGGAAGACCCAGAGTTACCTCTGCTGCAGAGGATAAGTTCATTAGAGTTACCAGCCTCAGAAATTGCAGGCCAAATAAATGCTTCACAGAGTTCAAGTAACAGACGCATCTCAACATCAACTGTTCAGAGGGGACTGTGTGAATCAGGCCTTCATGGTCGAATTGCTGCAAAGAAACCACTACTAAAGGACACCAATAAGAAGAAGAGACCTGCTTGGGCCAAGAAACATGAGCAATGGACATTAGACCGGTGGAAATGTGTCCTTTGGTCTGGAGTCCAAATTGGAGATTTTTGGTTCCAACTGCCGTGTCATTGTGAGACACGGTGTGGGTGAACGGATTATCTCTGCATGTGTAGTTCCCACCATAAAGCATGGAGGAGGAGGTGTTATGATGTGGGGGTGCTTTGCTGGTGACACTGTCTGTGATTTATTTAGAATTCAAGGCACACTTAACCAGCATGGCTACCACAGCATTCTGCAGCGATACGCCATCCCATCTGGTTTGGGCTTAGTGGGACTATCATTTGTTTTTCAACAGGACAATGACCCAACACTCCTCCAGGCTGTGTAAGGGCTATTTTACCAAGAAGGAGAGTGATGGAGTGCTGCATCAGATGACCTGGCCTCCACAATCCCCTGACCTCAACCCAATTGAGATGGTTTGGGATGAGTCGGACCGCAGAGTGAAGGAAAAGCAGCCAACAAGTGCTCAGCATATATGGGAACTCCTTCAAGACTGTTGGAAAAGCATTCCAGGTGAAGCTGGTTGCGAGAATGCCAAGAGTGTGCAAAGCTGTCATCAAGGCAATGGGTGGCTATTTGAAGAATCTCAAGTATAAAATATATTTCGATTTGTTTAACACTTTATTGGTTACTACATGATTCCATATGTGTTATTTCATAGTTTTGATGTCTTCACTATTATTCTACAATGTAAAAATAAAGAAAAACCCTTGAATGAGTAGGTGTGTCCAAACTTTTGACTGGTACTATATGTGTAGGTGGATGTTACTAGCCTGAGTCTGGTGTGCTATCGTGCCAACACCTTGTCATGCCAAACAGGTTTGGGTTTGATAATGAGTAATGGAGTTGGCAAGAACACAAACAGATCTGGGACCACCAGGCTAGGATGTTACATGTTGGAGGTGTTTAAGGGTGAGTTACCATCCTTTCTATAATGTAAAGGCACTTTGAGACCTAGTGAAAAGGATTACATGAATGTGACCCATTAGTAGAAGCTTTTAACATGACATTACTCAGTGCTCCAGGCATCACGCCTGTTCTAGTCATGCTATGGGCCCTGTGTAGCTCAGTTGGTAGAGCATGGCGCTTGCAACGCCAGGGTTGTGGGTTCAATTGGGCCAGTATGAAAAAATAAAACAATAAAAAATTATGCACTCACTAACTGTAAGTCGCTCTGGATAAGAGCGTCTGCTAAATGACTAAAATGTAAATGTGTTGTAACAGAGGTGGTTTGGTGAACCACGCAACAGTGATGAGTAACCTTGCCTGAGACCTGAAGACTTGCTGATGCCCAGGCATTATCTAAGCACAAACACAGTGTTGTGGTGTGCAGACTGCAGATGACCCAAGTTTAAACCCAGTCCTTCACACAATGCCTGTCCTATCCATTGTATGCTTATTCTATACATTCTACCTCTGGGCATGTGACTGCTGACAGGTCTCACCAGTTTGATAGTGTCCTCTGGTCTTAGTAGTGACACCATGGCGTGCAGCTGTCTGTGCTGTGTGTCTGAAGCTCCGCCCCCCAGCTTCAGGGGTGAAAGTGAGTGATTGGGCGATGTCTCTTCATGTGGCCCCTCCCTCTCTCCCTCTTCCAGGAGAAGGACGGCCCCTTTGACCAGAGCAAAGCTCTCTCTGTTATGGAGGATGGAAGACTGAATTATTACTTTGAAAGATGTTTGCAATGAAACTTCCATATGATCACATCCAATCTACAGTGCATTCGGACCCCTTGACTTTTTCCACATTTTGTTACGTTACAGCCTTATTCTAAAATGGATCAAATTGTTTTTTTTCCTCAATCTACACACCATACCCCATAATGACAAAGCAAAAACAGGTTTTTAGAATTTTTTGCACATTTATTAAAAAAACTCAAACAAAAAAAAAAGAAACCCGGAAATATCACATTTACATAAGTATTCAGACACTTTACTCTGGCTGGGCCACTCAAGGACATTCAGAGACTTGTCCCGAAGCCACTCCTGCGTTGTCTTGGCTGTGTGCTTAGGGTCGTTGTCCTTCGCCCCAGTCTGAGGTCCAGAGTGCTCTGGAGCAGGTTTTCATCAAGGATCTCTCTGTACTTTACTCCGTTCATCTTTCCCTCGATGCTGACTAGTCTCCCTGCCGCTGAAAAACATCCCCACAGCATGATGCTGCCACTTCCATGCTTCACCGTAGGGATGGTGCCTGGTTTCCTCCAGACGTGATGCTTGGCATTCAGGCCAAAGAGTTCAATCTTGGTTTCATCAGACCAGAGAATCTTGTTTCTCATGGTCTGAGAGTCCTTTAGGTGCCTTTTGGCAAACTCCAAGCGGGCTGTCATGTGCATTTTAGTTAGGAGTGGCTTCCGTCTGGCCACTCTACCATAAAGGCCTGATTGGTGGAGTGCTGCGGAGATGGTTGTCCTTCTGGAAGGTTCTCCCATCTCCACAGAGCAACTCTGGAGCTCTATCAGAGTGACCATCAGGTTCTTGGTCACCTCCCTGACCAAGGCCCTTCTCCCCTGATTGCACAGTTTGGCCGGGCGGCCAGCTCTAGGAAGAGTCTTGGTGGTTCCAAACTTCTTCGATTTAAGAATGATGGAGGCCACTGTGTTCTTGGGGACTTCCAATGCTGCAGACATTTTTGGTACCCTTCCCCAGATCTGTGCCTAGACACAATCCTGTCTCGGAGCTCTACGTCAATTCCTTCGACCTCATGGCTTGGTTTTTGCTCTGACATGCACTGTCAACTGTGGGATCTTATATAGACAGGTGTGTGCTTTTCCAAATAATGTCCAATCAATTGAATTTACCACAGGTGAACTCCAAATCAAGTTGTAGAAACATCTCAAGCATGATCAATGGAAACAGGATGCACCTGAGCTCAATTTAGAGTCTCATAGCAAAGGGTCTGAATTTTCGAGTCTCATAGCAAAGGGTCTGAATAGTTATGTAAATAAGGTATCTGGTTTTGATTTTTAATAAATGTGCAAAAATGTCTAATTAAATCAATTTTAGAATAAGGCTGTAACGTAACAAAATGTGGAAAAGGGGAAGCGGTCTGAATACTTTCCAAATGCACTGTATATATACAAATTTAATTCACAACCCAAAACTAAAAAACACAATAATCTACCTTTTCTGAAGTCTCCCTCTTCTTGGGATGCTTTCATCCTTCAAAAAATTATATGAAAGATGATTAATTTACTAACACAAACTCCTTAGCCCTGTGGCGTAACTACATCGTCACAGGCCCCTGTGCTAGATTTAACAGTGAGCCCCCAATGTAAATCAGAAGAGCAACTGAAAGTCAACAGACCAGGTGAACTAGAAAGACATTCACACTTACAGGTGGCCAAAAATAACTAACTGAAAGCCACGCACCCCCAATAAGCCACACCTCCAAATCCTTGCTACAATATCATTGGACAGTATTTGCTTATTTCCTAGCACTCTTTGCACACACAAAAATTTTTTTTTGTAACTGTTCAGTGAGGTTTGTTATGTGAACCAAATAGATTTGTCATCATAAATGTTTGGGTATTAAAAAATATATAATTACGAAGAACCATGACTGGGATGTTTTGTTATGCAAATCACTTGTAGGTCCATCTTTCAGTGTCTAATAGCATGAGGTATATTGAGAACAACACGATTGACTAATGATGTACGGTGTACAAATGATTGGCCCCACATTAAATGACTAGGGGGTCCATGCGAAACTTGATATTGAGAGCTTGGCGTCCGCCACTGCCTTAGCCTGAGTGTTTGTGCCATCATGCCAACTCTCTGTAAATCATTGTCATGCCAAACTTCACTTGACAATGACAGCAATGTAGTTCGCAAGAGCACAAACAGATCTGGGACCAGGCTATAACCAATTTACTTTTTACTGTGTAAATCTACAATCTGATAAATATACCATCTTGTGTCACATATTGAAGTCTGCTGATTACAGAGTGATAAACCTCTTTAATTATAGAGTGCAGGGAGAGAAAGAATAAGGAAGAGGAACAGAAAAGACAAACAGGGAGGGAAAAGTGAGAGAGAACAGAATGTATGAGAGAGGGGTGGCTGCAGTATCAAGGTGTGAGTGAGTGAAACTTGAGACAGTAACATAAGGGTTATTCCTCACGAAACCAGGACAAGAAAATACCATGGTTTTTGAGATTTTCACAAAATGTCATCCATAGAATGTTCCTTTGGAGAAAGGATTGTTGACATATATTTGACATTTATATCTAAAAGCATAATTGAGAAATTATTAATCAAAGTTGGCATATTTATGACATCTTGGCCTTACCCATGCCTCCTTTAAGACTCCATAATGTTTCATCTGTAGGAGCCACAAAGCAGAAATTGGTGTCATATGAAGGTTTATCGCTTGCTCTGTAAAATCAGTAGTATTTTGCTTTCAACAACAATTTTTGTACATTAATTTATTAACACTGAAAAATATAAACATGAATATTCAAAATATGCCATTTTTTTATTTTTCTATAGATATTGTTGAACATAATATACTCTACGGGCAAATCAAAGTTCCAGAGTTCGCTCTCTGCTACTTTTAAAGTTATGGCCCATTTTAAACAGAGAAATTGGCATAGTAGGCAATGTAACCAATCACAGCCCTCCTTTTACTTGTATCATTGCACATCCTACAAATCACCAGCAGAGTGAATCAAATGTTATATTCACGCTGTTGGTAATGCTTACAAATTTAAACACAACTCTAAAAGTAACAGAGATCCCACTCTGGAACACTGATATGCTGTAGAGTATATTATGTTCAACAATATATAGAACAATTTGCCAAATGAAAATGTGTATACTTTCTATATTCATGTTTATACATTTCATTACCTCAAATTAATTTAAAGAAATGGTTATTTAAATGGAAAAATACTACTAATATTTCAGAGCAAGCGGTAAAGCTTCATATGACACCCATTTTTGCTTTGTAGCCGATTCAGATGAAACATTCTGGATTCTTAAAGGAGGCGTGGGTAAGGCCAAAATGTCAAATATTCAAACTTCAATTAATTATGTCTCAATTATGCGTTTAGATATTGTTAAAATGGCCAGCTTCAGTCAGCTGATTCTAGCCATCCCATCTGGTTAGTTCTAGTCGGACAGCTCATTCTCCCATTCAGAGGACCCCCACTTTTGTTAGTGTCTTATCTGTCAAAGTCACACCAAATACTTATCACCAAATCTCATTCAGCCTATCAGTGGCCTTGATTCCAGGAACTTCGGTTTCAATTAGTCTATGACCCCAGCACACTGTGTGGTCAGAAACGTGCTTTCCCCATCCTGATGAGCATTTCCACAGTTTCCCTCCTGCTGAACTTTTCCTCCTTGTGTGTCATATTATGTGGAGCTAAGTCTTGTGGTCTATTGTGTATAATTACTGTGTGTTAAGTTTGTTAGCTAGCTCGCGCTCCCCTAGCATTGGAATGCATGAGCATTTTAGCATGACTGTTAGCGATTACCAGTTTATTAGCATTTCTCCTTTATGGTGCTAGGCTATTTTCTATTATATATATATATATATATATATATATCACTCATGCTCATTGTATTTATATTATGTATACATTTCAACATTACTGTAATGTTTATTTGAGCACATTTGCCTGAGTTTCATGTGTACAAGTCCAATAGGTTGTTTAGTCTATTGCCATGGGACTAGGCCTTATGCCTGCTGCAGTGTATAGCCCTTGGTGTTTTATACTTACCTGTGCTAGCATATACAGCCATGTCATTCATATTATAGCAGTGCTATTGCCTAAGTTTTCTTTCTCCGCTTTCCTTTCAGAACCACATAGTTAATGTCAGTTCTCACTGGACATGATTCTCAGTTATCTGAACCATGGGTGGTCAGATGTGTATGTGATGTGTGAATGTGGACATCTTCTTCCATTAAACTCCCCTTAACCTGGATATCCGCCTCATCGTTGTTCTGACCGGATATTCTGTAGTGGTTGCTACCGGCCTTAAGCCAGCACCTAAGATTTCTTATTACATTCATGGTCCTTCGATTCTCTACAACCCTACCCCCTATTTTTCATGGTCCTTCAAGCCGGAGCCAGTAACTGCTACAGCCCAAGGATGCCAGTTAACAGAGAATATCCTCCACAAGATGTGGTCCGTCCGCGCCGACCAGCTCACCTGCCACAATATCTCGACAATTACGGTGATGGCTACCTCAAGGCACAAACTACCACACACATCCACATACTACTCCTACGAGGGAGAGCAGCTAGAGGGTTTTCTTGAGCACTTGAGACGGGATATACTGCAGTCACAGTGGCATTCTTCCCATTCAACAACTCCTCACCGGTCCAAGACACCACCCAGGCTGACTAGCAGAATAGAGGGCAGAGCCTCAGCCTTTTCATTGGTTGCTAATTCACCGGGTTCGCACCTCAGGCTAACCTCGACCAGAGATCGCCAAGATCAGCGTCGAACCTCGACCAGAGATCCTCAGGATCAGCGTCGAACCTCAGCCAGAGATCACCGGAATCAGCGTGGACCTGAGCGTGGACCGCGTTTACACAGCCAGCGTGACGAGATTGATGAGCTCATTGAAGCAGTCCGGAAGATGGAATGTTCCTACAGTCCACCCGACCACCGTCGCCAGTACTTACCTGATGGACACTCCCAGTTGTCACCTGACCGTCTCAGCCAGTCCTTCAACAGTTCTCTCCTCTTACAACTGAAAGGCGTCTTAGAGGAGAACAGGGACCTGTGCCACCAAGCTGCCCAAGAAGTTGATGACATCATCTCAGAGATCATCATGCAACAGATACTACACCAGAAGCGCCAGAATGAGGTTCTGTGGTGCCAGCGCAACCAGCTCATTGACGCCAGAAAATGCTCGAGACGCAGCGCCGTTCCACATTAGCTTCACCATTAGCCCCGGTCTCGGATCAGACCCCTGCTGTAGAGTCCCTCACAGCGGTGCTACAGCTTTCTCCAGGGCCAGAGGAGCTACCAGAGCTCACCCTGGCAGTGCACCCTACCACTGTGCTCAAGCCGACCCCAGCCGAGCAAATCCAGACTGTTCCGTGAAAGGAGCTGAAGTTAGTAGTGGGGCCTACTACACCGGCTCCTGCCATGGAGCTTCAGCTCACCACTCCCACAGCTGTGCTTCAACCAGCAACTGTCGCAGAGTCTCAACTGGTTCCCACAGTTGTGCCATCGCCGTCTCCAGTGACAGAGTTCTGTCGACCCCTGTTCTGGACCCCAAGATTAATCCTTACCTCCCTGCCTGTTCCCGAGCAGGAAGACCTACAGCCTTCTCCAGGGATGGAGGAGATACCAGAGTTCACCCTGAGGGAGAACCCTACTCCAGCTGACACCTCTAAATATCAGTTGGTCCATAATGTGGGAGCCCTGTCTGTAGCTGCTGAAGGCGCCAAGTCCAGCCCTGCCACTCAGACCTCTCCAGTCCTTGTCTGGTGGGATCTGCCTAGTCCTACCTTCGACGTCCAGCCTACTGCGGTCCAAAGACGTCTCCCTGCTCCTCCCTGGGAGCCCCCTCCAGTCTCTGCTGCAGTGGCTCGGTCCGTGTCTGCTGTCCAGGCCGTCAGTCCCTGCCTGGTGAAACCTGCCGTTCTCAGCCCTGGGGTTCTTGCTAGCCCATCCAAACTGTTTCCCGCTAGCTCCAGCCTTGGGAGACCCTCCTGACGTCCCCGTGGGGAACCCTCCTGGTTTCCCCGTGGGGTACCCTCCGGAACAAGGTGTTCAGTGACCTGTCGTAGGAGACACCTCACCTTCTGCCCTACTAGGTCCTCAGTCTATAGCCCCAGTAGGTCCAGAGTATCTTAGCCCTTAGTTCCCTGATCGCTTAGTGGCTTCACAGTTTTCTGCTAAGCTGGGTACCCAGTTTCATATCCCAGTAGGCCCAGAGCTTTCTGTCCTGATAGATCTAACATTCCCTAGCTCACAGTCTGTAGCCCAGTCAGGCCCCAGGTCACTATCTCTGTCAGACCCCAAGTCAACAGCTCTGGGCGCTGTCAGTTTCTCCTGGACCCAGGGTCCAGCTCTCTCCCGCCTTTGGGTCTTTTCCCCCCCCTCTCTTTCAGTTGTGCAGCTGTCTCCTCTCCTGAGATCTTCGCCTGTTGCTGCTGTGGGATCCAGCTGATCTTAGTTCCCAGTGTGATGTGTGAATTTTGACATCTTCTTCCATTAAACTCCCCTTAACCTGGACATCCGCCTCATCCTTGTTCTGACAGAGCATTCTGTAGTGGTTGCTACCGGCCTTAAGCCAGCACCTAAGATTTCTTATTACAGTCATGGTCCTTCGATTCTCTACAACCCTACCCCTATTTTTCAGATATAAATGTCAAATATATGTCAACAGTCCAAATCTGAACCAATCATAGATATCTGTTTCACAAATGTGGACATTACAGTAAAGAAATGTACAGAAGAGTAAAGTTTAGTACAGTACATTACTAGAGCACACTAGAGTAGAGTACAGTATAATTTACTGTACTCTACTGTAATGTACTGAACTATACTTTACTGTGCTGTACTGTGATGCCCAAACTTGTGAAACAGATGTCTACGATTGGTAGGTGGTCACAAAACTGAGGGAGATTTTAGTGTCATTCTGTTACCAAACTTTACATCTGTTCTTCGAGTAAATATGTTTTTTAGTTTTAAAAAATCTAGAAATTGTTAAAACTAGTCCTTGTGCATAGGGTTGTATGGTTTGTTTAACTTTGCAATCAACGGATTTTGTTTGTCATACTTTTTAAGTGAAAAATCGTCGTCATCGTCATTCTGTTACCGTGAAATTGCCCAAATGTATGTCAACAATCCTTCCTCCAAAGGACCATTTTATGGATTAAATTAAGTGAATATCCACCCCCAAATTTTTTGTCCTGGTTTTGTGAGGAATCATCACACATTACCTGTTATTCAACTGACATGTCCAGACAACACACAATTAAAAAATTGTAGAGGATGGCCTGGAGAGGACAGCAGAGGAGCGTTGAGGGTTTGAAAGGAAGAGAGAAGGAGAAAAAATGAGTTAACAGTAGTAGAGATGACAGAGTAGTAGTATGCAGGGGGACGGAGGAGGGCAAAGTTATGTCTGCCTGTCCGGGGAAGCTGGGAACAGAAAAGTGAGAATGTCGCCTGATGTTTTGGCATACTCGTAACATACCAGCGAGGCCTTGGAAGTGACAAAGTTTAAATTAGCCTGTTAAAGTTGCTCTAAATGTTTAAAGAGAAGTGAAAGAGAAATACAGAGGGAGTGTATGGAGGGGGGGGGTGAGTGAGTGAGTGAGTGAGATTATCCTTCCTCCAAAGGACCATTTTATGGATTAAATTTAGTGAATATCCACCCCCAGATACACTGTAACATGTGTATCACATAGTTTATGGCATGTTTGCCCTCTACTTAGTTATGTTATCTCTGCTTATCAATACAATAACTGCCTTGGCTACCAGCGAGCATAAAATACCCTTTACATTATCCAAAGTCTACAATGCTGTGATGATGATATCATCGCGAATGAATACACCAAGCAGGTTACTGGACAGACCCAGGCAAAGATTGTTGTTCATTAACCAAAGCAAATGGATTCTTGATAATAGGCTTGTCCAGTGTATCGAATCGCACACTGTAAAGCAGAGTATCATATGATGTGATGTGAAGTGAAGGCGCTGCCATGGAAAAATAAAATGCTAGTAAAGCTGCATTGAGATATGTGTGGGGCTCGCGGGAAAGGGACTCACCGGAGCGGTGGAGATGGACGGTGACCGATGCAGGGTCAGAAGAGCCATGGCAAGGCACCGCTCGGTCGGTTTTTCACGCGCGCGGATCAAAACAAGAGGCGAGTGAAAGGCAGGGGTTCCCTCAAATGTGTGGGAGGGTGGGCTATAGGATGTATTCACACAAATCTGCAACGAAGTTGGAGCTGATTATTAAATACCAGTTTATAAAGATACAGTATTATCTGCAGACATAATGGATAGTGGAGGAGACAAATAGACATTTAACACGTAACGTTATAGGCATTGATGGAAGAGATAGCCATTGTAGTTACATGCAAAGCATTCCTTCACAACGACCACGTATGGTTAAGAAATGAATGTGCGCTGCACTGCGCCCGATCGCACATCAAACGCAACACATCTACAAAAAAAAAGAATGTTGCTACAATGAAACAATGTGGCTAACTAACTAGACGTTACTGAAAAATAGCAACATTTGAGACTCTAGAGCATGGAGTTAATTCATATGCTAGATGTCATATGGAAAACATGTAAAGCGTCAATTCAGTTTGAGTGGACAATCTGCTCTGTTGATCGTCTGCGAATCAACAAGCTGTTAGCTAGCTAGCTATAGAAAGGCAACGGATCGATGCTAGCTAGTTAAAACCAAGGGTGAAAGGGATAACGTTAAAGATAAAGCAAGAGTTCCTCTTTTACCTTCCTCCGACAAAATGCCTCCTTCTGAAGCTTCTCCCTCACACGCAGTGAGTTTGGATAGCAGCTATTTTTAATCCTTCGCTTTGGCAAAAGTTATGCTCCACTCTGATATCCAAATTAAAGAAGAGTTTACTATTTAATTGAACCAGGAAGACATCGGCAAACTACAAGGAGGGGCATGGAGGATTGGTTTTCTTAAAGGGGAAATGGCAAGATTTCTATTATGAGGAATATCCTATAATCTCTCTTGATTTAGGTTGTTTTGCTTTCGTGAGTTATCTGCATCAATCCGGTCATTCTAGTTATTTCTAGTGTAATGGCAGACCCTGGCCGTGATCCCACTCTCTGAGGGTGTCTCAGGGGGAGTTAGGATATGCAAAAAATACATTTCCAATTCACACATCCGTATAATACACACTTGTACATGTGAAATAGGACAAATATAAGTACCCACCTGATTATTATATATTTTTTAGATCAACAACAAGGAATGGTTCTGGCATTATGGAAAGCAGAAAAACAAAACAAAAACAAATCAAAAGACAGAAATAGCTTTAACAGAAATAAGAGATCACAAAATCAAGATTTTAATATCAAATATGAATGCTGGCCCATGTTGACTCCAATGCTTCCCACAGTTGTGTCAAGTTGGCTGGATTTCATGTGGGTGGTGGACCATTCTTGATACACTCGGGAAACTGTTGAGCGTGAAAAAATCCAGCAGCGTTGCAGTTCTTGACACAAACCAGTGCGCCTGGCACCTACTATCATACCCTGTTCAAAGGCACTTCAATATTTTGTCTTGCCCATTCACTCTCTGAATGGCACAAATACACAATCCATGTCTCATTGTCTCAAGGCATAAAAATCCTTCTTGAACCTGTCTCCTCCCTTTCATCTACACTGATTGAAGTGGATTTAATAAGTGACATCAATAAGGGATCATAGCTTTCACCTGGATTCACCTGGTCAGTCTATGCCATGGAACGAGCAGGTGTTCATAATGTTTTGTATACTCAGTGTATAGGCACTAATGCTGCGTTCGTAACCAAGTGGGAGGTGGGAATTTACCAGTTGTGAAGTCGTAAATACCAGTTGGATGCATTCACTTGCTTTGAATTTAAAGTTTTGTTGTTGCATTTAACTGCCGAAAATGTTGTTATCAAGGTAATTTCGTCAGAGGTCTTCTCCTTTCCCCCTTCTGATAACCAGGTGGCGAATCGCATCTCTGCATGTCTGGCAGACATATCAGTATGGATGACGGATCACCACCTCAAACTGAACCTTGGCAAGACGGAGCTGCTCTTCCTCCCGGGGAAGGACTGCCCGTTCCAAGATCTCGCCATCACGGTTGACAACTCCGTTGTGTCCTCCTCCCAGAGTGCGAAGAGCCTTGGCGTGACCCTGGACAACACCCTGTCGTTCTCCGTTAACATCAAGGCGGTGACCCGATCCTGTAGGTTCATGCTCTACAACATTCGGAGAGTACGACCCTGCCTTACACAGGAAGCGGCACAGGTCCTAATCCAGGCACTTGTCATCTCCCGTCTGGATTACTGCAACTCGCTGTTGGCTGGGCTCCCTGCCTGTGCCATTAAACCCCTACAACTCATCCAGAATGCCGCAGCCCGTCTGGTGTTCAACCTTCCCAAGTTCTCTCACGTCACCCCGCTCCTCCGCACACTCCACTGGCTTCCAGTTGAAGCTCGCATCTGTTACAAGACCATGGTGCTTGCCTATGGAGCTGTGAGGGGAACGGCACCTCCGTACCTTCAGGCTCTGATCAGTCCCTACACCCAAATGAGGGCATTGCGTTCATCCACCTCTGGCCTGCTGGCTCCCCTTCCTCTGCGGAAGCATAGTTCCCGCTCAGCCCAGTCAAAACTGTTCGCTGCTCTGGCACCCCAATGGTGGAACGGGCTCCCTCGCGACGCCAGGACAGCGGAGTCACTCACCACCTTCCGGAGACATTTGAAACCCCACCTCTTTAAGGAATACCTGGGATAGGATAAAGTAATCCTTCTAAGGGTTCCAGGGTTCTTCAATTCCGGTCCTGGAGGGCCGAAACACCTCTGTTTTCCATCCTCTCCTTCTAATCAGGGGCTAATTCAGACCTGGGACACCAGGTGAGTGCAATTAACTACCAGGTAGAAATAAAAAACAGAAGTGTTTCGGCCCTCCAGGACCGGAATTGAAGAACCCTGCTATAAGTGGTCGAGGAGTGTGTCATTTCGTTAGTAGGGTCGTCACTAGTTACCACAGCCACAAAGTTATAAACCCCGGCTATTTCTACAATTTATCTTCTGTAAATGTTATTTTAAACCTAACCTTAACCACACTGATAACCTTATGCATTACCCTAACCTTACATTAATACCAAAAAGCAAATGTTGTTTTCATGATATTGTACGATAATAGCCCATTTTGACCTTGTGGCTGTGCTATCTAGTGGAAACCCCCTTTAGTAGGCAAACAGAAGTGTCCTCTCCTCCTAAATCCTACCGCGGAAGACTTTTTAAATCTGCTTTTGTTTTGTCAGAGGAGAAAAACATGCACAAGTTTAAAAACAATATGCTACTTATTGTTTTATCTATAAAAATGTCTTGCACAACTAACTTAATTTGTTTTTATCACTTTACACATTTATTTTGGGATCCACCCCTATAAACCTCATCTGCCTAATGACGCGGGAGTAGGAAGGGTTGCCAATAGTTACAACAGCCACTATTGGAGGAGAAGGTCAGAGAGGCGGGTCCTCGGGCTTTCTCATCCAATAGGTTTTAAGAAGGAGGAGAGGAGAGAGGAAGCAAGGAGTGTACAATTGAGAATCGAATGCAGTACTGCACATGCGCAATGTTGTTTGTCTTACACACTTCCTGGTAAATGGTGCCACGGAGCGCGCTGTGTGAAGTGTCGCTTTAGTGCACATGTTGAAACGTAATTGTGAACACTAAACAATCAGCAAACTTAGCTACAACTGTAGGGAGATTCGGGCCATTATTTCAAGCAGGTCTTCTGACGTTTCCAGTCCTTTGGAGGATGCACACTGCTCAGAAGATCATGAAGGTTTTCATAACAAGACGCATCCCACAGGAGGGAATGAAGATTCTGTCACAGGCTGGAGTGTATGTAGCCAGCAGATCCGACTTGCTCGCTTACAGCTCCACTAGGGTCGGACAGCATTCCTGTGTATATTACAACACTGCAGAGCTGGCACAAGATATGGCTCGGAAAACATACCTCAATCCAGGGATGAGAAATGCCCCATTATCCCAACTGTTACACCGAGAATATTGAACGACTTCACATTTTTGGGAAACTGTCTTTTTCGTCCTCATGCTACGTAAAATAAGCCACAGCAGCCATTTTGGAATGGCAGTGTCAGCCAATCAGTTCATCTGTTGTTCAACGAGACCTGACATTCCATGATGGCTGCTGTTGCAACTAGGGAAAAGGGGATACCTAGTCAGTTGTACAACTGAATGCATTCAACTGAAATGTGTCTTCCACATTTAACCCAACCCCTCTGAATCGGAGAGGTGCGGAGGGCTGCCTTAATCAACATCCACAGGGAACAGTGGGTTAACTGCCTTGCTCAGGGGCAGAAATACAGATTTGTACCTTGTCAGCTCTGGGATTTGATCCAGCAACCTTCCGGTTACTGGCCCAACACTCCTACACCGCCAGGCTACCTGCCGACCATCTATCATGAGGACGAAAACTGCAGTTTACTTAAATCTTCTTGGTGTTGGGATAATGGGACAATTCGGAATGCTGTCCGACCCTAGTGCAGCTGTAAGCAAGCGGGTCGGATCTGCTGGCGAGAGTGTGGTAGCCTATAGCCAAGTACAACTAATATAGTCAAGTACATCTAAACTCCACAGAGTTTAGATATACTTTGCTAACTAGCCTAATGAGTTTTTCATGCGCTGTCATTTTTCATCTATTATGCATGCATGTGTCTGTGTGATGTCTACGGAGTTGTGTCATAATAGTGCTACTTAATTGTAGTGCTAGTCTACTTACTGCTGTATAAATGCATTGCACACACATATGAAGTGGAGGGTAATGTTACACCATGTGTTCTAAAAGTGAAAGTTCACTGGAGTTGTTTGTGACCTTTATTCCAGGTCACACGTTATAGCCGGTACTCTGAACTTGTAATAAGGATCTAAAGGCGTTATAACACTTACAAACATCTATGTAACAGTTAATAAAGGTAACGTGGTATAATAAAGATTAAAGCAAAGGGTAAATTAATCTGTAAGGGGAAGGAAAAGAGACTGAAACCTTGAAAAAGCAGACAGACAATCCAGAATACATGGAGAATACTGTACTATGAAGGAAATGTTCTAAATTGTCTTTGACTCTTATCTTAATCTCTCCCCTTTTACCCCCATCTCCCTCGTTTCCATGGAAACAGATGTAAGGTTTCCCTGTGGGACTCGGATGAGCCTGTTCCAAGGGCGGAGCTTCTGAAGGGCGTGGCGGGGGCCCATGGGTTGCTGTGTCTCCTGTCTGACAAGATCGACACTGAAGTTCTGGACGCAGCAGGTACACTGGACATAACCTGGACCAGATGAACTCAAACAGCACCTCTCAGCATTTTCCAATATATGGAATTTATGAGGCTGCTAGACATGTATTTTACAGTATACAGTACCAGTCAAAAGTTTTAGAACACCTACTCATTCAAGGGTTTTTCTTTATTTTCAACCAGCTTCATGAGGTAGTCACCTGGAATGCATTTAAATTAACAGGTGTGCCTTCTTAAAAGTTAATTTGTGGAATTTCTTTCCTTCTTAATGCTTTTGAGCCAATCAGTTGTGTTGTGACAAGTTAGGGGCGGTAACTCTAATGAACTTATCCTCTGCTGCAGAGGATACGTTCATTAGAGTTACCGACTCGGAAATTGCAGCCAAAAGTAACAGACACATCTCAACATCAACTGTTCAGAGGAGACTGTGTGAATCAGGCCTTCATGGTCGAATTGCTGCAAAGAAACCATTACTAAAGGACACCAATAATAAGAAGAGACTTGCTTGGGCCAAGAAACACGAGCAATGGACATTAGACCGGTGGAAATTTGTCCTTTGGTCTGGAGTCCAAATTGGTGATTTTTGGTTCAAACCGCCTTGTCTTTGTGAGACGCGGTGTGGGTGAACGGATGATCTCTGCATGTGTATTTCCCACTAAAGCATGGAGGAGGAGGTGTTATGGTGTGGGGGTGCTTTGCTGGTGACACTGTCTGTGATTTATTTAGAATTCAAGGCACACTTAACCAGCATGGCTACCACAGCATTCTGCAGCGATACGCCATCCCATCTGGTTTGGGCTTAGTGGGACTATCATTTGTTTTTCAACAGGACAATGACTCAACACACCTCCAGGTTGTGTAAGGGCTATTTTACCAAGAAGGAGAGTGATGGAGTGCTGCATCAGATGACCTGGCCTCCACAATCCCCCGACCTCAACAAAGTTGAGATGGTTTGGGATGAGTCGGACCGCAGAGTGAAGGAAATGCAGCCAACAAGTGCTCAGAATATGTGGGAACTCCTTCAAGACTGTTGGAAAAGCATTCCAGCTGAAGCTAGTTGAGAGAATGCCAAGAGTGTGCAAAGCTGTCATCAAGGCAAAGCATGGCTATTTGAAGAATCTATATAATATATTTAGATTTCTTTAACACTTTTTTGGTTACTACATGATTCCATGTGTTATTTCATAGTTTTGATGTCTTCACTATTATTCTACAATGTAGAAAATAGTACAAATAAAGAAAAACCCTTGAATGAGTAGGTGTTCTAAAACTTTTGACCAGTAGTGTATGTGTTGTATGATAGTTCCCACTCCGTCCTCTCCTAGCACGTAACTATTGATTTGTGTCCAGGTCCAAACCTGAAGGTGATAAGTACCTTGTCTGTCGGATTTGACCACATGGCCATGGATGAGATCAAGAAACGGTAAGACTAACTATCAACTAAGTTGTATAAACAAATGCCTTAGCCTCACATCTAAGTCAGCAACTCTCATTGTGCCATCCTCTCTGTGTTCTGTGCAGAGGGGTGCGTGTGGGCTACACTCCAGACGTCCTGACTGATGCCACAGCGGAGCTGACCGTCGCCCTGCTCCTGGCCACAGCTCGGCGGCTACCAGAGGGTGTGGTGGAGGTGAAAAAGTCAGTGCCTAATAAACACACAGATACATTAGACTCCGGCTCCAGATGATCGCTCTGACATGTTGTACAGTGACACTTTATGGATATGTTGCCTAAACAAATGTCTATCTAAAATGAATATGAGTACAACAGAATGTGTCCTCAGTTCCCTCTTTTTAATCTCTCCCTCTCTCTCCCTCCTCTCCCTCTCTCCCTCTCTCTCCCTCTCTCTCTCTCTCTCTCTCTCTCTCTCTCTCTCTCTCTCTCTCTCTCTCTCTCTCTCTCTCTCTCTCAGTGGAGGCTGGAGCACCTGGAAACCTCTGTGGTTGTGTGGTTATGGTCTGTCTGGCAGCACTGTTGGTGTCATCGGACTGGGACGCATAGGTAGAGCGACAGTGATTGCTTGATTGACTTACTGGATTCTGTGACTCCTGCCCTTAGGCATGAGGTCCATACAATCCATATAGTAGCTGAAAGGGCAGGACAAACGGGCTTATTCATTGATTGATTGTCTGGAGTCAATGCTGTTTTCCCTCAGGTATGGCCATAGCCAGGAGGCTGAAACCATTTGGAGTAAAGAGGCTCCTGTACTCTGGAAGAACTGCCAAATCATATGCTGCTGAAGTGGAGGGAGAATACGGTGAGCAGGAGTGGAAGGGCTAGGGAAAACAGGAAAGTATGAGATAGAGGGTGAGAATCAGATGAGATATTTATTTGATTGTTTCTTCACATTTTACATTTACATTTTAGTCATTTAGCAGACGCTCTTATCCAGAGCGACTTACAGTTAGTGAGTGCATACATTGGGGGGACTGTATGTTCACCTTCCTCTCTCCTCCCCTCCTCTCTGTTGCAGTGCCCTTGGACACGCTGGTCTCTGAAAGTGATTTTGTTGTGGTGTCCTGCGCCCTTACACCAGAGACCCAGGGGCTGTGTAACAAGGACTTCTTCTGCAAGATGAAAAACACTGCTGTCTTCATCAACACCAGCAGGTACTCCATTAAACACGTTGAGCAGTGCCAAACCAACCACACGGACTGGGTTTTGAAATGAACACACTGTGTGTGTGTGTTATAGGGGTGCAGTGGTGAATCAGGAGGATCTGTACCAGGCTCTGTCCAGTGGTCAGATAGCCTGTGCTGGGCTTGATGTCACAACCCCAGAACCACTCCCCACCGACCACCCCCTCCTCACCCTCAAAAACTGTGGTGAGTTAATGGGGTCATGAGAGAAACAGAGGGAGGAAGGCAGTTTACTGAGGCATCTCTGTTGTGTTGTGTTGTCTAATGGTTTCTCTCTGATCATTGTTGTGATGTTTCCAGATTAATCAATCATATTCAATATTCTCATTAAAATCAACCAGTTGTTTTGCGACCAAATGTCTGCAGTGCGATCATGTCCCTGCTAATACATTTCCCTCCTCTCTCTACCTGCAGTGGTCTTACCCCACATTGGCAGTGCCACCTACTCCACACGTGGCGTCATGGCAGAGCTGTCCGCCAACAACCTGCTGGGAGGCCTACAGGGCACAGACATGCCCAGCGAACTCAAATTCTAGTGCTGCTCTACAACTACTCAACTATGCCTCTGTCCTCCTTAGAATGATCTTTGTCACCCAATCAGTAGTCATTACCAGGAAGGTTAGAGCCGTAAGTGAAAAGGAAATACATCTGTGTTAGAGTATTGCAGTTGTATTAACATGCTCTCCTAACATGAAGGTCAACTTTTGCCTCTTGCTCTTCGATCTTACAATGTTTATAAGAAATAACTAATTTGTGGTATGTGGCTCGGATTTTGAAGGAGGAAGTGTATAGTATTAGCGTTTTGAGAACATGCCTTCGCCCTCTCTAACAGCACTCCGAAGGGTCAGCCATGGCTTCCTTTTAAGACGTAGATGAGCACTACAATGAGTGCACACACTACTAATTCATTACAGTGGTCTTATGAAACACTTTCTGTCAAATGTAATTGTACAAAATACTTAACTAAAATAGTAAATTAGTAGTTGTGATGGTAATGTTCTCTTGTTCTCATTCCAGTTGAGTTGTATGTTTAACATATTGAGATGGATCTCAGTTGTCTAGTTGTGCATAATTCTAAGATAAACACTCCATCTCCAATTAATTTGTTTCAAATTCTATGGTAAAACACTCCATCTGCAATCATTGTCTGTTTCAAACCAGCTGACCACGCCTGATATTCCCCTCTAACACACTGTCATTCTGGTTTTGTTTTTTAACAAAGCTTTATGTTCAATGTAGTAATGTGTGAACATATTATTTTCCCCATAAAAATTATTCTAGATACTTGAGTAAATTAACAATGAATAAAGTTACCAGAATAGATCATTAAAAGACAGTAGTCAGGGATCAGTGTGGTTCCAATGTAGTTTATTTCCATCACTCTTCAATAGTGATCTTACTGAAAAATAGTGTGTGATGTAATGCATGGTAAAGATTCTCTCAAAGAGTTCCATTCTCTCCCTACATGTTCTATGATAACACGTTGCATTTTATGTAACAGTCATCTTCTAGAGTAGACAGTACAGTACATACAGTGCATTCGGAAAGTATTCAGACCCCTTCCCTTTTTCCACATTTTGTTACGCTACAGCCTTCTTCTAAAATGGATTAAATAAATGTTTTCCCTCATCAATCTACACACAACACCACATAATGACAAAGCGAAAAACGTTTTTTTTGAAATATTTGCCAATTTATAATTTTTTTAAAACAGAAATACCTTATTTACATAAGTATTCTGACACTTTGTTATGAGACTCAATATTGTGCTCAGGTGCATCTTGTTGCCATTGATCATCCTTGAGATGTTTCTACATCTTGATTGGAGTCCACCTGTGGTAAATTCAATTGATTGGACATGATTTGGAAAGGCACACACCTGTCTATATAGGTCCCACAGTTGACAGTGCATGTCAGAGCAAAAACCAAACCATGAGGTTGAAGGAATTGTCCATAGAGCTCCGAGACAGGATGGTGTCGAGGCACAGATCTGCGGAAGGGTACCAAAAAATGTCTGCAGCATTGAAGGTCCCCAAGAACACAGTGGCCTCCATCATTCTTAAATGGAAGAAGTTTTGAAGCACCAAGACTCTTCTTAGAGCTGGCCGCCCGGCCAAACTGAGCAATTGGGGGAGAAGGGCCTTGGTCAGGGAGGTGACCAAGAACCTGATGGTCACTGACAGAGCTCCAGAGTTCCTCTGTGGAGATAGGAGAACCTTCCAGAAGGACAACTATCTCTGCAGCACTCCACCAATCAGGCCTTTATGGTAGAGTGGCCAGATGGAAGTGGGGATGTTTTTCAGCAGCAGGGACTGAGAGACTAGTCAGGATCGAGGGAAAGATTAACAAAGCAAAGTACAGAGAGATCCTTGATGAAAACCTGCTCCAGAGCGCTCAGAACCTCAGACTGGGGCAGGGGTGGCTTCGGCCCAGCCAGAGCCCGGACTTGAACTCGATCAAACATCTCTTGAGACCTGAAAATAGCTGTGCAGCGACGCTCCCCATCCAACCAGAGAGATGAGGATCTGCAGAAAATAATGAGAGAAACACCCCAAATACAGGTGTGCCAAGCTTGTAGCGTCATACCCTAGAAGACTTGAGGCTGTAATTTCTGCCAAATGTGCTTCAACAAAGAACTGAGTAAAGGGTCTGAATACTTATGTAATTGTGATATTTTTTATATAAATATGCAAAAATGTCTAAAAACCTGTTTTTGCTTTGTCAATATGGGGTATTGTGTGTAGATTGATTAGGAAAAAAGGCAATTTAATCTATTTTTAAATAAGGCTGTAACGTAACAAAATGTGGAAAAAGTCAAAGGGTCTGAATACTTTCCGAATGCATTTTATGTGCTTTCTAAAAGCATCAATTGTTTATGGGAACCTGTAACGGTCAACATTATTTAATTTTCTTTCATCAATGTAAAACAGTGCAAAAGTGGGCCCACTTTGTGGATTCAAGGGTGTCCACTTAACAATATTGTTTGTAACAAGCACCAGACCAACAACCCTGATCTGGCAGAACATTTAGAAATGGAAAATGTCAATGAGCTTTCTGACTGGTAGCACCGGCTATGTTTCACAACGTTTCCACCTGATTTCCCTGTCTCTCAAAGCAACGTGGCAGGCAGGTGGCTGTTCTGCCAGCGCAGACCGGTGGTCTTAGAATGTTTGTATAGGTGGGACGACTGACTGAAGCGTTTGCCACACTTGAGACAGGCGTAGGGCTTCTTCCCTGTGTGGACCCGGATGTGTTTCTTACAGTCTGTCAGGGTCAGGAAGGTCTTACAGCAGATCCGGCAGGCGTACTTCCTGGCCCCCTCTACTACCAGGATGTTGTGCTCCGTCTAGGCCTTCTTACATTTATACAGTACATTCTCTGATGCTCTGGTGAGGGCAGGCCGAGGAACAGCTTCACCCCCTACTGGACCGGAGGATGAAGAGGCATCCTGAGACTGGCTGTCTATCTGGCCTTCAGTTGGGGGTTACTTTAGGGGCAATGCGACAGTTAGCTGGCGCCCCTAAACTACCCCCTACTCCAGCTATGTCAGCCCTGGTGGTTCGGGAGAGGGAGGTGCTCAGACTGAGGCTGCCCAAGGTGCCAACATCTGGCCTGACTCCCCTTAGGAAGCCCCCTAGAATGTCCTGAGTCTGGGTGGGCTGGAGGATGAAGCCTTCGCTGAAACTGTGGCCATCGCCGGCGAGGAGCTGCTGGAAGGGGACAGAGGTTACTGGGAACATAAGGGAGGAAGAGGACGCAGAGCAGAAAGAGGAGGCGTTTGTTGCCTCTAAGCTTTGAAGTGACCTAACAGCCTCATTGCTTTCTGCCTGAGACTCACTGATGGTGGTGTTTGGGAGGCTGTCCTCTCCTAATGGCCCACTGCCAAGCTGACTTATGGGGTTGAGAATGCAGGAAAGGCCCAGGTCTTGGTTGCTATCTAGGCCCTCGTTGTCAGACGACCCATCTCCTCCATCCATGTTGTCTTGGAGTGGGTCTGTCTCTGTCTGAGGATCGGAGCTAGATTGGGGGTTGGATGAGCTTGTGTCATCTCCCTTTGGGCTGAGTATGTCTTTCTCATCGTTTGCTGGCTCATCCTGATGATCACCAGTGTCCTCGGATGGGAATGGAGGATCACTGGACACACCTGGTGTGTCTGGATAGGAGGAGTTCACCTGCTCACTCTTCACCACTACATCCATCTTCTGATCCTCATCCTCTTCTCCCTCCTTTCCCACTTTCACTTTAAACACGATCCCTCCATTCACCAGAGAACCCTCTGTGTGACCCTCTCCCCCATCCTCCCGCGTCCTTCCCACAGTACTATCTGATTGGCTAGGCAGCTGTATCTCTTCTTGTATTACTACTCCCCCTGTCTAATACTTCTTCTCCACCTCCTCTACGCCTCCTCTCTCCAGGCAGAGGCCCTCGTCTGTCTTTAGGGAGTCAGAGGAGGGAAGCTCCTCACCCCCATTATTCCTGGTCACCCTTGGCGAGCCCTCCTCGTGATTCTCCTCAGAGAGCCTGCCCCCTTTCTGCTTGCTGTCCAGCCTCTCCTCCTGAAACACTTGGGGAGAAGAGTTATTGTGTTTGTGAAGACAGCATCTAGGGAAAGCTGCTTGTTGCTCAATGCCTCCATCCGCTCCAACCCCTCCATCCCTGCCTCCAGCCTGGCTAGCATCCGCCCCGGTCTCTCTGTTGTCGAGGCTCCCTTCCAGAGCTGATGTGACCAGGCTGAGCCCCAGCTGCTGGAGCAGGACAGATCTCTGCTGCCTGGAGTTGACCCCAGCCATGACTGCTGAAGTAACCAGGGAAGTCCATCTCAGCCTGAGGATGAATATGAGGAATGGTCAAACTGAATGGTCAGGCAGAGACAAGAGTCAGTGTCACTGAACTGATGTAACTCCTGATAGATCTCATAAGCACTAAACCCAGACAAGCTTGGGTAATGGGTAACGAGCAATGGGCAGCTCTGTCACAATAGATGCAATGCTAGTAATAACAAAAACTATGAGTGTCACGACTTCCTCCGAAGCAACCTCCTCTCCTTGTTCGGCGGGCAGGCTTCGGCGTTCATCATCACCGGCCTTCTAGCCACTGCCGCTCCTCATCTCATCTCATCATTCCATTTGTTTTGTCTTGTTTATTACACACACCTGGTTCATATCCCCTCATCAGTACCTGTATAAGTGTTCCCTCTGCCCCCTTGTCTTTGTGTGTGATTGTCACGATCGTTGGTTAGAGAGGACCAAGGCGCAGTGTGTTGAGCGAACATACTTTAATAGTAAAGTGCACACACGAATACAAAACAATAAACGATACGTAACGTCCTCAGACAATGACTGACAAGGAACAAAAACCCACAAACACAAGGTGAAAACAGACATTATAAATATGGCTCCCAATCAGAGACAACGAGCCAAACAGCTGACACCCGTTACCTCTGATTGGGAGTCACTCATCCAAACAAAGAAATACAACCACATAGAACAACCCAACCAAACAGAACACAACGAAACGAACACACCCTGGCTCAACATACAAAGTCCCGGAGCCAGAGCGTGACAGTACCCCCCCCTAAAGGCGCGGACTGCGACCGCGCCTCAATAAGGGCTAAACAAGGGAGGGCTGGGTGGGCATACCTCCTCGGCGGTGGTTCTGGCTCCGGCCCTGATCCCCACCTCCTCTCCAACCCCCCAAAGTACCCCTGGTCCTGTCTAGCCCCGCTGGTCGGAGCCGGACTGACGACACGCGCCCCTGGCTTGGTGCGTGGAACAGGAACGGGCCTCACCGGACTGACGACTCCATTCCCTGGTTTGGTGCGAGTAGCAGGAACGAGCTGGACCAGGCTGACGACTCGCATCCCTGGTTTGGTGTGAGTAGCAGGAACGGGCTGGACCAGGCTGACGCCTCGCACCCCTGGCTTGGTGCGAGTAGCAGGAACGGGTTGGACCAGGCTGGCGACTCGCACCCCTGGTTTGGTGCGAGTGGCAGGAACAGGCCGGGTCGGGCTGGCGACGCACACCGTAGGCTTTGTGCGTGGAGCAGGGACAGGCCGGGCTGGGCTGGCGACGCACACCGTAGGCTTTGTGCGTGGAGCAGGAACAGGCCGGGCTGGGCTGGCGACGCACACCGTAGGCTTTGTGCGTGGAGCAGGGACAGGCCGGGCTGGACTGGCGACGCACCTCGTAGGCTTGGTGCGTGGAGCAGGGACAGGCCGGGCTGGGCTGTCGACGCACACCACTGACTTGGTGGGAATGGCAGGAACCGGCCGGGCTGGGCTGACGACGTGCACCACTGACTTGGTGGGAATGGCAGGAACAGGCCGGGCTGGGCTGACGACGCGCACCACTGACTTGGTGGGAATGGCAGGAACAGGCCGGGCTGTCGACGCACACCACAGACTTGGTGGGAATGGCAGGAACAGGCCGGGCTGGGCTGACGACGCGCACCACTGCCTTGGTGGGAATGGCAGGAACAGGCCGGACCGTACTGGGGACACACACCACTGGCCCCACGCAGGGATCAGGAACGGGCCGGACCGGACTGGTAACACACCCCAGTACCTCTCGCCGTGCCTCCACACTTTCCCTCTCCTCTGTGCCCAGTGGCCCCCCTAACCTGGCGGCCTTCTCTGCCAACGCTTTGCCACCGCTCTAACCCGTACACCTGCTGCCCCGACGTCGTGAGCCCCCCCTAAAAATTTCCTGGGGGTCTCTCCTCCCCGTGGCCCAGGCCTCTCTCCCTCTTGCCAGACTCGCAATCATCTCCTCCACGTCCATCCTCTCTCCTCGTCACGCTGCTTGATCTGGTTAAGGTGGGTTTTTCTGTCACGATCGTTGGTTAGAGAGGACCAAGGCGCAGCGTGTTGAGCGAACATACTTTAATAGTAAAGTGCACACACGAATACAAAACAATAAACGATACGTAACGTCCTCAGACAATGACTGACAAGGAACAAAAACCCACAAACACAAGGTGAAAACAGACATTATAAATATGGCTCCCAATCAGAGACAACGAGCCAAACAGCTGACACTCGTTACCTCTGATTGGGAGTCACTCATCCAAACAAAGAAATACAACCACATAGAACAACCCAACCAAACAGAACACAACGAAACGAACACACCCTGGCTCAACATACAAAGTCCCGGAGCCAGAGCGTGACAGTGATTGTTTATTGTGGAGTTTAGTTTAGCTCGGTGGAGCTCCTTGTATTTTGTATCGCCGGGATATTCACCCGTGTGCCTTGTTGTTTTCCCAGTGCGCCTGATTTACGCACTGGAGTGTTTGACGCATTGCTGCGTACCGCTGTGTTTTGGGAATAAACCCTTTATTCAGTGATTTACCCTCCTGCGCCTGACTCCTTAAAAATCCCTCACCACAATGATGCAAATATCCTGATGCTCATGCCTGGAATAACCTATGAAAGTACCGCCTACTTTCTGGTGCCAGTCCCATACTGTTTTTGAATAGGCTTCTAGTTTATATAATCAAATTCATGAAGACGTGGTAATTTAAGATTTATGTAAAATTATACTCGTATTCGTCGATTAATTTACTTATACATGATGCCTTTCATTAAAGTTTTGGATTGCGTTTTGTTTCGAAAACCTTCATAAAAGTACATCTATCCACAAATACGAATATAATTTTACGTATATCTTAAATGACCCCATTTTCATGAATTTGATGATATAAGCTTGACATACATTCAAAAGCAGTATGGAACTTGCACCCGGAAGTAGGTGGGACATTCATAGGGTATACAAGGGCTATTCAACTACTGTATATTCTTAGGGAGGGGCAGATTTGAAAAAGGTTATTAACAGGGGGGCCAGACATTTTCTACATGGGATTACTCTTCCTAAAACCAGTATAAAAAACAATACACAAAGACAATTATAATCTTATAAAGCACTTTTATTAAATTAAATGTTGCTAAATTCAAATTGTTTAAATAATGGAACACATTTGTATTTATAACGCAGTTGACCTGCATCACATTAATTAATTTCCACTTTTATGTCCGTTTTACATACATAGCTTGATCTTTTGTTTTTATTTACACATAGGAAACCTTTTATGCATGGCATATCTCAGTTGACTAGCTTTTGCTGAGAAGTCTCTCCTCCCGAACCAGCAGAGAACATGTCCCTATAACAAACTGCACCACCTCTGTGGGGACTTAAACTCCTCAAATCTCGTTGCAAAGCTTTCAGTTTATCTAAAAACTCCTACATCACGGGAGTGATCTGTACTGATGATGACTGAATATAGTTGAGCAGTGTAGGGACATTGAGTGTTTTGTTTGGGCTCAAATCAGAGGAGAAAATAACACATTTATTTAGAAAATATGTAAGTTTTTCAATCATCTCAATAACTATTTTATCCCTCCCATGTATTGCTAAGCCACTGAAAGTCATTATGTAAAAGAAGATCATGAAGCTCAGCAAACTACGAAACAAGCGATGTTGCAGGCTAGATGTTGATCGGATAAGGTTTATGATAGCCATGACTGAGTCCATCGTGTTTCTTAACTCACCGCTGAGTTAAGCACAAAGCACGCTCTGGTGTATCAGGCAATGTAGTGATCTCATCTGCGGTGAAAGAGACGATGGGCGGGCAGACAGACCCTGTACCCTCGTTAGCAGCTCTGATTGGCTGTAACTGGTAAATTGGGTGATATTGATCGACAGCACTTAATGGTTGGGATTGGGCGGTAGATTCTAACGTAGAGGGCGACGGAAGACGCAGGCCAAGATGTCGACACAAGTCCAGAGGATAGAATAGACGCCGAAAGGGAAAGGAGGGGGAAAATTGAGTCCTTTGAGAAGGCAAGAAACCGATGGTGGTTAGGAGAAATGCAGTATTATCATAAGGAGACGTATACTTGGATGAATGAGGAGGAATGGAGGGAAAAAGAGAGGCAGAGGAGGTCTAAGAGAGAGAGGGAGGAAGACTGTGAGTTTGAGTCGGGAAAAAATGGCAGGAAAAGGGGAGAAGGTTTGTTAAAGAAGAGTGGTAGGAAATATAAGCAAAGTGAGCTGAAGACAGGAGGAGAAATGGAAGTGAATGAGGGTGAAGTATCAGAGGTGGTAGGTGTGGTGAAGTGTTCAGAGCCAGAGGCTTGCACAGAGGGTCAGGATAAAGATGAGTCTGTGACAGTAGGAGTGAAGTTTGTGGAAAAAGTGGATTCTTGCCTTTTGGCTGATCTATTTGTGGTTTCAAGATGGGCGAAAAAAGTGTTGGGTATAGTGGAATCGGTGAGGGTAACCGGAAGTGGTCTAGTGATAATTGTTTGTGTTTCTGTTGGGCAGAGGGAGAAGGCGCTCAGAGTTAAACAAATGGGGGAAAGAATTGTGAATTGTTTCGCTCTCAAGAAAAGGGCGCCATTGAAAGGAGTGATTACTGGGGTAGCAGTAAATGTAAAAGTGGATCAACTGAAGGAGAAGATTCCCGGTGTGTGTGATGCTCGTCGTTTGGTGCGACGCAAACAGGGTGGCGAGAGTGGGGAAACAGAAGAGTCATTGTCTGTTCTTTTGAGTTTTGAAGTTGAGTCTTTGCCTTATAAAGTGAAATTAGGATATATAAGTTATCCTGTGCGAGCTTATGTGCCGAGTACATTACGATGTTACAGGTGTCAAACTTATGGGCATGTGGCAGCAGTATGTAGGAACGAGATTCCTAGGTGTGAGAAGGTGCAGAAGGGCATGAGACAAAGGAGTGTGAAGCAGTGGGGAAAGTGGTGGTATGTGCCAATTGTAGGGGTGGCCATGGGGCTGGGGAT